CCAAGTCGTGCAGCAACTTAGACACTTGTCAGCATGTCCATGTCCCGGCAAGGTGCGTACCCGGACCTTAATGTACTGTGGGAACTGCCAGTGCGAGGTCAGTACGCGAAGTTCGAACTTACAAATCGGCGTCTCTGGTTGACTCTTACCCTCTGGATTCTCTCTGGCTTGCTCGATAATGGCTACGCGCAGAACACGCTCCCATGCGAGGCAAGACGAGTTGGGGTCGTGCAAAGCAAGAAGCCCAAAGCAACGAGACGCAAACCGACTGAGGCATCTAGCGCAACAAGTCTGTCCAAGGCGGCGTCTCCTGACGTGGACCGCGGGGTGAAGCCCTTGTCTGCAAGCGAGGAGAAGATGCTTGGAGAACTCCTGAAACGAAGAACGATAATCAAACAGAATGATATCACACAGAAGAAGACTGGTGAGTACATTGTGTTCGCTATCCACCATACTCATCTTCTGTGACAATCAGCCGTGCGCAAGAGGGCAAAGGCGTTGGTTGACGAGGAGCAAGCAGCTACCGAAGACGAAGATACTCAGCCGGCTCGTAAGAAAGCCAAGCCCATCGAGGAGTCGGAGAACGATGCACCACAGGAGCCTGACGACCTTGAGGTAGAGGCTGTCGGTGATAGCCCGTCTCCGAGTCCTGTGCCCAGTAAGTGTCCCTTCAAATATTCTCTTCACAATTGCTACTTACGTCGCACACTAGCACGTCCCAGGGCTACTGAAGATACCACCCAGAACAAGTGCAAAGATACCACGGTGATAGTTGATGAAGGCGAGCAAAGAATTGCTCTGGCCCTCGGTCAGTTCCTTCTCAGTACTGCATTGGCGTACGTATGATCATACTTGTGCGCAGGAGGTAGCTCTCGTGGGAAGGGCAGACTTGCAAATAAGAACGATGAAGAGATTGCAGACGATCAGTCGGAAGACCGCGCGAACAGCCCTGTGGAAACGCCCCGTAAAGCTCGCTCAGCGAAGAAGCAGGCCTTTTTGATGATCGATGCTCAGGTACTTGCATTTTGTTGCAAATCTCCGAAGCTTTGACTCACACTTGTCTTCCAAGGCGAAGGGTAAGAACAAGGCCAGTTCAAAGCTACGCAGGACGGTGGTTTCAGACGACGATGAGGAGGAGGAACACTCTTCGTCTGACATGAGAGACGACGGCAGTGGAACGGAGGGTAGTGAAGAGGAATCGGATGAGTCGGATGATATCGTGGTGAGTCCTGTTCCGAGTTTGAATCTACGGGGAATGTTTGCGACATTAGAGCAGGACGTGACGCATGCGAAGGGCAAGAAACGAGCCACAGGGAACGTAGGTCGAGTCAAGGCTCGTCCGCGAATCCGGGCGGGCGATCTGCCACCCGATATCCGCCCTCTTGTGCACGTCGCGCAGAACTGCCTCCGTCTCTACCTCTCACTCAACACCGCGTGGATCGCCGACGGCAGCGTTGCCAGCTCTCGCCTGCAGAGCAAGCATGACATCGTCACTGATGTGTTGCAGGAAGCCCGATTTACCCGCGACAAGGAAGGGCGGAGGGTGAAGACGCTGAAGAACGGATACAAGATGTTGGAGAAGAAGGGCCCAGAGGCAGATGCGCTGAGGGACAGGGTACATACGGTGGTGAGCCTGAGTGATTCATATGTATCTACTAATCGACTCGACTTGCGACATTGGCTGCAGGTATGGACAACAGCATCGCAGTTGAGGAATGAATTGAAGAGGAAAGCCAAGGCCGTTGTCGAGCACACGTACGGCATGAACACCCTATCGACACAGCAACGCATGTCTCTCGCCCGCTGGCTCCTCAAGTCCTACCCTATGAAGATGCAGGGAATCAGGCGTGAGTTACCCAACTTCGTGTTCGGCGACATGCACATTGCCTGGCGCAAAGACCGAGTTGACAACAAGGTAAGTACTCCGGGATTATAGCGAGAAGAACGTCATAATTAACACATCGTACGGTGAACCAGGAGAGCAGTGTCAAGACGCAGCTCCCGTTCAGGCACCCCGCGATCGCGGAGATTATTGTGCAGCAGTGGTTCCAGGGCCATTCGGGAGCTAATCCGCCGGTGGAACGTTTCAGTGAGATGCCGGACAACTTAATCTCGCTCGTCTGCAACTCGGTCAGTGTTGCTCTAGTTGCGAGTGAGGATATTCTAATGCAGACTGCATGATTAAGATCGAGATCGCGCTGCGGGAGACAGCAGTTGGCACCAAGATCTTGTTCACCAACAAGCTGTATGCTCCAAAGTAAGAGAACACGACGGTCCTCATCTACTGGCTGACGTGTTGCGTTGACAGGTGGGAAAACCTGATGTCCATTCTCGAGGCGATATCCACCAGCGCCCCAGATTACTGCCTGGACATGAGGAAATACTTGTGGAGTCGCATCAGGTGTGTCATTCTGAGCATTCACAGGTGATTGATACTCACTACATTTGCAACATCCCAGTTCCCGGGTCGAAGGCCAAGATGCGGACACGTCCGAAGGCGAAGAGAGCAAGGACGGTGATTTCATGGACTTCGCGGCTGAGCTCCAGAACCTCGTCAAGCCTGCCTCTACATCAACGTCTACGTCCACCAAGCCTCCCTCTGCGAAGGCGTCGTCCTCTGCGAAGCCTTTGTCCTCTGCGAAGCCTTGTCCTCTGCGAAGCCTTCATCATCTGCGAAGTCGTCTGCAAAACCGTCCGCAAAGCTGTCCGCAAAGCCGTCCGCGAAGCCGTCCGCGAAACCACAACCGGCAAAGACGTCTGTGCACGCGAAGGCTTCTACGTCAAGAGCTCCACCAGGTAAGGCTGGAGTCATTCTGGGAGCAATGAGGTCCTAATAGTCTTGCAGACGAGGGCGGCGACTCTGAATCCCGCGAGCAACCGTCTGAGATCGACGAGCTGGGTCAGGACATTGGTGACAGAGAGGAGCGCGTAAACAGTGCCGGTAAGCACGTCACTCAATGGCTCTCACTCATGACCGACTGGTGTATTGCATGCAGAAGACCAGTCCAAAGCGCAGGACGACGGTGCACCGGCCACCGACTGAACGCCTCCGCGGTTTGACAGAGTCTTCCAAGGGTGAGCTATTTTTTGAATAATCACTCAGTCATGGAGGTCCGTTTCTGAACTATTTTTTGTAGGTCCAATACTATACCATGGTCTTCAACTCAATATCCCTACCTTGGGAGATTCTCTCGCGTTGCGACATCGCATGTGTTGCAACTGTAGGTTAAGCCTGAGTTGGTCGCTCACAATCCTATCGTCAATTGTACTTGTAGTAGCTTCCATGAATCGGTCTGTACATGTATCACAAATGCGTCGAGAAATATATTCAATGCCCTGCTGGTGATTGTAATGGGTGTGCTGTCAAAACAGGAAGCTGACTGGAACCCTTGTAAATGAGCACATAAGCTGTTGATAAGTATTTCTTGCGAGCACTTGCCAAGCGACAGTGCATAGTCATCAAGACTAAACTGAAGTTCTTGTACCAAGACAATGAAGTAGCGGCTATTACTTGGCTCTCTTAAAATAGAACAGTAAGAAAGTCACTTGTCTTTCTGCCTTGAATCACTTCTCTGGCTTTTCAAGTCGTACAAGACAGCTCACTTTTTCCTGATGGTCCACGTCCCACAGGAAGGAAGTCATTGACGACCATATGAACGACTCCAATTGGCGCAAGACGACTGGTATGGGTGAGACCTTTGCAAAGTTTCATGACGATCGCAGTCTCATATTTCCGTGTCGTAGTGAAGATGCTCTGCCGAAGGTATGAGCAAGCACGGACGAGCAACTTGTCTACTCGTGAGTTTCTGGACGACATCGAATCAAGCAGCAAAGCGGAAGATCTAGCAGTGTGGAAGAATATTGAACGGGCGGCGATGGCAGGGCGGCGTCTTGACGTCACCGTCATGGCTCCCTATGAAGTCTCAGAACAGAAAGGCAAGCGTCATCTGGGGCTGCCGCGCGCATTTCTCACATGTTTGGAAAGCTCCTGGAAAGCGAGAGATGCAGCTGATGTTGGAGCAAGAAAGCGGGCACCGTCGGGGGCATCTGGGACTCGCGTCTTGGCTAGCAGATGGTATATACATACAGGAGCAACAGTGCGTATCCAGCAAATCCACTCGAACATTGGGCGCTGACTCGTAAAGTATAGGCTCCAGGTGTCTGCGTTGGCAAGGCGCGCTGACACGCATGGGTTGGTGAAGGATCAACTCCAGCTTGCGGGAAAACGAAATCGATTGCAGCATGCCATTTCCCGCTTTGAGAACAAAGCGGCAACATTTCTGGGGGATGGCAGCGAGGATGATGACTCCAGCGACGATGAAGACAGTGAGGAGGACTTACCGCCAACCTACACTGGGGAGGATTGGCCTGATCCCGTCGAGGACCAGGATGTGACGGAGGCTACCTTTGACGTAGACGAGGAGCCGGAAGACGAGACAATGCCCGAGGCAGTGACCCTTCAATTGCCCTCAGTTCTTGGGCTGGCGAAGGTTACCCGCTTGGGCAAAGCGGACCTTTTGGGCGAGGAGCTTCGCTTGAGAGAAGGACAGGCGAACGACGCGCTACATAGGCTGCGAATGTCAGTTGGGATGAAGTCGGTGACGCTTCAGTCCAAGCTGCGCCAGGCGAAGGGAGTCCGTCTGTCCAAGCGAGTGTGGAACGAGGTGCACACCTTGGAAAAGTCGATCGCGGAGCAGGCTAGGATTTACACTCAAGCACGACTGGCAATCGAGCGGCTGCTGCTCACCCCTAGCGAAGCCGCCTCGCAACGACTGAAGTACCGTCATTTTCACCAGAGGAAGATGGCTCAGGCTAAGACGGACAAGGCGGCAGCCAAGGCGGTCAAGGTGGCAGCCAAGACGGCAGCCAAGACGGCAGCGAAGGTCGGGGGTCGGGCTGGAGCGAATGTACCAAGCAGTTCCATCCTCCCATTGAACGCGATGGACAAGCTCGAGGCGGAATTTGCTAAATTTGTCCTCACGGTTCCCCCATTAATCCGACGTTACCGCCCTCTAGAGCAGGAGGACCTGAAGGCCGTGACACATCTGATGGATAACGAAGAGCGAAACACAAGGAATAAACAGCTTTCCTGGATCTGGCAAGTCGATGTGAGCGGTGATTTAGCAAACTCAGAGTGGCTAAAAGAGAGTGAGTCCCTGCACCCCTCATTGATCTGCGTTCTGACAAGAGATAGTACACCGCGTGAACTGGTTGCGTGCGAAGGCCAGACATGACCGCTGGCGGGAGCAATTAACGCTCGTTGTGGAGGAGATGAAGCAGACCATTCGATCGTTCGAGTTCAAGGCGGACGAATGGTCCCTAAGGTCAGGGAGCAGCTTTGGAGCCCAGTGCTATGCGAGAAAACAAGAGGCAGTGTGGTCTGGCTTAGCCAATAGGGCCAGAACCGCGTTCACCGCGTTGACCGAACTCGGGGATACGTAGACGTCTCATGAACATAGTTACTGCGAGTTGAACTGGGATACATTGTACAGCCTGGTAGACGGAGTTACTCGAACGGAACAGTGTGCCCAAGGTGGAGGTGAGATCTGTAATGTTTGAAATAGCACCACTGGGGATGCGGCTGACTAACCGACTTCGCGACCTTATCATGTGTGAACCATATGTACGACACACGATCTCCATCCCATTGCGCCGTCTGATGCTCCAAGACGTGGCCTAGAATGCTAACGACCGTGCCAGGTCGCTGCTCCAGCTCCAACTTCAGGTCAGGTATTTGAATGCATCCTCCCGTAAAGTCGCCCACTGTCGCGATTATGTCCAATACCGAATAGGCAGAGCCAGGGTCCCTGTGGCAAGGACTCTGTCGGTTATTGATGATTGTGACTCCCGTGAAGGGGGAGGGCCAGAGGCGCAAGGAGTCGGTGAGATGGGCCTTTCTGGACAGCGCACGTTTGAGTCTGAGACCGCGCATACACTGGTCGTTGTGCATGATGTTGAGAATCCCACCGATGAGCGCGTTGGTTTCCTGCATCTCCAGTAAGAAGCTTGTGCCGGACTTCGCGTGCTTGCCGTTGATTGTAGCCGAAGAGCCATTCAGTGGAAAAACTCGCTGTTAACGGTACAGCCGGAGTGCATTCCGGCCGTTGCCAACGGTAGACCCGCCTCCGGCCGGAGCCCTCCGGCTTTACCGTTCGCAACCACTGCCGGGGCCAACGGACGGGCCGGCCAGACAGCACACCCTGTCCCTCCGTCAGTAGCGGGGCGGCCGGAGTGTGGTGACGCGTCGGAGGACACAAACCAAAGGGCCGCCCACCTTGCGCCTTGCTGGAAGCATTACGGCCGGTCCTTATGTACAACGCTGCAAGCCTGGCGGCCGGACGACCTCCAGTTGTCGACACGGCGGCCGGTGTCAGAAACCTCGCAGTTGCAACGGAGCGGCCGGACGACGGAAAATCATCATTGAAACTGGTGGGCCGGGGCCGATACGTCGACAACGGGGCGGCCGCACATTATCCGCCTCGCAAGCAAACGGAGCGGTTAGTGCGGCATGAGTCTGCTTGTAACGGCCCGGGTGTCGGAATTGGGGGGGGGCTGCTGGAAATCTCGTCGACGCTAGCCTAACGGGGCGGTTGGTGCCCACCCGAGCCTAGCATGGCGGCCGGCCATCCACTCAGCATGTTTTCATCGGGGCGGGCGGTTATAATTATTTGCCGTGGGTAGCGGCGCGGCCCCCCGGCACCCGGTTGCATCGGCTCGGGAGAGCGCCTCCCCCTCACGCTCCCAACACAGCGGCCGCAAACATCCAGCATATTATGCCCACCGGTCGGCCGGGGTCCCTATGTTCTCAGCGTTCCGGCCGGAGTGACATGCCTATTGCCACGAACGATGCGGCCGCATGTCACCTGTTATCAGCCAGCTCTCCGGCCGAGCGTCACTTGCTTGTAACGGTCCGGCCGGCCCCTGCACGCTACCTTTTAAGCGTTGCGGCCGGCTGCTGTATCCAGGATAAGCAACGCATAGGCCGCACTCGAGACGTTATTTTCGGCCCGGCCGGAGGTCATGATTTTCATCAGTTGACGGTGCGGCCGGAGCTGTGTCTCATAACATTGGACGTGCCGGCCGGAACACACTCCTGCCACACACAGTGCGGCCGGAGTCAACGAACCAACAATGGCACGGCATGACCGCAGGTTGCCACTCGTTGCCCACGAACGGGCCAGAGCTCGGCTAGTTCAGTAATGTTTGGTCACTCCTGATCGCCTACTTGAAGTGCTAATCCAATTATCTACGTCATTAGGCGAACACCATACCAGACTACATTGCTCATGCAGTGTTTGACACTCCAAATGCATGAGTTCCGCGGTGTGCAATTCGTCAGCTAGGGTACCTGTGAGAACTGTCTGTTCTATAAGTATGTGGGTACCTCACGCCGGCGATCACTACCATTGGTTCTATGTTTTATGCTAGCCTTTCAACTTCGACGCCCGGGTTACAAGGTGCGCCGGCCGGTGGGCGACATGCGCCGGCCGGTGGGCGACATGCACCGGCCGGTGGGCGACGTGCACCGGCCGGTGGGCGACATGCACCGGCCGTTGGGCGACACAGCCGGCCCGTAAATGTCATGTGTCGGCCGCGCAGTGACTCAGGCCGGACGGTGAAAAGCGTGCGCCTGCCAGTCAGAGACATGCGCCGGGAGGTGAGCGACATGTGCCGGCCGGTGAACGATGTATCCTGGCCGGTGAACGACATGCGTCGGGCTCTGAGCCACGTCCGCCGACCACTGAGCCACATCCAGGCGCTGGCAAAACACGTTTGTAGCCTCGCCATGTGTGTCCCCAACAGTAACTTCGGGCCCACGGCATGGCAAATCTCGCTGTGCCACGTTGTTCAATGGAAACATGTGTAGTCATAGCATTGATGGCTTTATCTAATAGGGCGGTCTGCCTCACGGATAGCGCTGTACACATGAGGCTAACACGTGTATGCGGTGAGGAGACCATGAGGTGGTAACTTCAACCGGATGATAAACTCGCTCATAATGTCAACCCTCCACAAGTCTCCCGAAACTGCGGTGTGCCATGACCACGGCGGAAATCACGCAGGAGTATTGTACCTTTCTCACTGCTATGTACGAGCACCATCTGGCTGGGAATCCAGCGGGCAATTCCCTTGCGAGCTCTCTCGCTTGTCCCCTTCCTGGACTACTCTTGGATGTTGCACTTGTGCGCCAGGCCAGGTGTGCGGGAGAGCAGCTTGCTAAGGCCTACTGTAACCGCAGTGAGTACTTAATTCAGTCTACACAGAAACCTCTCGGCAGCGACCAACCTCTTCATTCAGTTGCAGTAAAATGGGATGCATCAGTGGCCACCCCTCCCCTGCAGCCAGACCTCATTTTCACTCATCCCAATGAACCCGCCACGGTGATCGACCCCGAGAACCGAATACTTCTATGGTATTTGCCCGGCGTTTTGACCGAGCACTACCGGGTACGTTGAGGTGATCGGCCTCTGCGATGCCTTCAGCTGACAATCCCACAGACGGTCATATTGCAAGCCGCAGCGATCCTAAGCCCAATGGTAGAAGCCAATCCCCCGACCGACGATGGCTCGTGGCGGCAGCAAGCCCAATATTTTAGAACACCACGGCCCGGCGATGAGTTCACACCGGGCTCTGTGGCATTCTCCCCCGGGTGGTTCCCCCAAGCTCATAATGTATGTCTTTAATAAAACCGTATCCGCTCATAACTTATGACTCTCAGGAGAGTAATTCGCGGCCCGCAGTGTCTGTGCTTCTCCGGAAGGCTGACTCCGTCGGCCGTGAGTGGCTTGAGGCAATGGTCGAGCCGCACATCATTATCTCCGGCATGCTCCACGTCATGCATCCACAGCTGTATTCCTGCGGCATTGCATCCCTGCAGGCATTGCGAGGCGACCCATCCCGAAGGGTTGTGCTTGACATTTGGAGCAATCCGTTCAATGCCTTGTCGATCATGCTGAACCGGCGCAGCCGCTTACATCAGGACCAGATGTCGTCAAAAGAGTGGTACGACATGTTGCTCTCCGTTGGCGGGGATCCCCACCTGGTTATTCGATTTCCCACAATTCCCCTTGTACTACCATACAAAAGCGGTACAATTGCGACGTTCTCGGGGGCACGCCTTCCTCATGAGGTCCCGGAGTCGCAGGCCGAGCGGGTCTGTGTAGCATACTACATGCGGCCGAATATTCACGCATGGGCACGTGTGGCCATGGCTGGTTGGCGTTATCTATGGGATTAGTGTAGATGATGGTGCCACTCTTGAGCGCGTTCAGCTGCATCAATGAACGGTGGCTTTCTATGACCACATCACATTCATCTGTGATTCTGATGCTAGGAGTCTTGCCGGCGAGACAACCGTATATGCCGGCCACTTAATTCGCCGGCCGGTCAGAAAGCTCCGCCGGCCGGCAAACTTCGTGTATCCGCACTGTGAATCCGCACTTTCCATAGTTGCCCTGGCCTCAGGCGGGGGAGAGGGCCAGTGAACTGCCTTTTCATTTGCACGCCAGTGTGTACACCATAAATCTACATTGCATACAACATATTATAAATTGCCTCGTCCCCTGTCTGCTCGTGTATCAATGATTGGTGGATGTGCAATCCACCGGCGAGCCACCGAATTCCTTCAGCTATGTGCCGACCGCGGCGGGTTGCTGGGTGGCGAGAGCGCGGCGGCATAGAGACAACTCGGCCTCGTTTGCATCTAAGGCTGCATTCCAGAACTCTATCTCCGCCATGATGTACGTGTTCATCGTGTACATGCAGTCGCTAAGCCGCTCAAGCCACGCGAGCCCCTCCGCCATCATGTCGTTCGGCATGTGCTTCCTACCAAGAAGGCCCGGTTCGAGGAGCTCCGGTAAGACAGCAAGATTGATTTGCTGAGCATGGTAAGTCGCCTTGTCCTATTGACTCTCTTAGGACAGGCGAGTGTGTCATGATGTAGCCGAACTCACCCGCAGTGTTGCCACTTGCAGCCTCTCTTCCACTTGCCGTAGTTGCTGAGCCGACACCCTCATCTGGTCAGCGATGATCGGACCCATCTCTATCTGGCGTGTGTAGATTCCGTCAAGGACGGTTTCCGGGCTGAGAGCGTCTTGGGAACTGAGATGGTTTTGTGCGACCGCCGGTGGTTCATTCGCCGGCCTGGTGGCTGCAGGGATCGGTGGTTCATTCGCCGGCCTGGTGGCTGCAGGGATCGGCGGTTGCATTTCAGCACCCGCAACCACTGCCACCAAGACCTCCTCATGCTCCCGGCCGGGGGGCGCCATGACCTCCCAGTATTTAGTTAAGGCATGCGCAACACCGTACTCCGAAGCCACTGCAGGCCTCGCGAGCTCCTTCAGGCCGGCCATCAAGGCAGTGAGAGACTGTGCGGGGAATCATGGGCTTGGAATCGTGATATACTTGCAATGAGAACGTACAATTGCGTGTACCAGCTTTGTCAGATCTTCGGCGGAGTTTGCGTCCCGCGCGAGACCATGCATAGCTTCGCCGGCCTTTGGCGCAAAGATGTACCTCTGCGCGGTGTCGAGGAGTTCGGTGATAGCAGCTTCCATTATGAATGGCGAACGGGTTGGTGACTGTAGTGGCCGGAAGTATGTTGGAGATGTGGCTGCCAACTGATCGAATCGTGATCCTGCCACAATCTCACGGACGTCACATGATGATGCCGTCATTGCTCCATGGGCCTGGTGTCAGAAGCACTTACCGAGACACGTGGAATAGATTGCCGAGACAGCCAACATTCCGCACAATGCCCACACAAGCCCCCATCGTTTCTATCCCTCCACGTCACATAGCGTGGGCCTGGTCAATGGCCGTGGTACGATTTGCTACGGGGACCCATTGACTTTCACCTGACGACGATCTAATCGCAGATCAACGCATCCCGTGTAGCCCCTCCGCTCCCGGAGACTTTGCAGATTTACGCCAATTCGGTGGCGTGAGTGTTTCCCACGATATGATGTTCAACTTTCAACTGATCTTCCCGGGGCAGACATGTGGCGGTTGTGACGTCCCGGCCAAATAGATATGTCGTAATCAGGCACATCGCAGGGCGGATCGTGTTGTCTGTTACATACGAGGAAAGGTGGACCAGCGATGTAATTTACCAGCCGGATAGCCGGCTGGCCGGCATCATGCTGCTATTCGACTGGGTTGAGAGGCGGGACGGCATCATCGAGGCTCTGTAACTGAATCGTTTACGCCAGCCACCTGTCAAATGCTGCCCTGCTTTTACATTAATGGTTTATGGGCATATGGAGAAGCTGTGTGCATCCTCCTGTGACGGCCGGTGACATTGCATGGATGCATGAGACACTGGGCAGTCTTTGACCGCCGAGCCACTCTGAAATGTATCATTGGTTGGTACAGCGGCATGGAATGGCGACCAGAGCTGAGAATCCCCCGCGGGGACGGTACCGGTAGCTAGGAAACAGGCGAAGAACGTGTGATCACAGTCGGTGGGCGTGCAGACTCGGCCGGTGTTCTCAATGCCATGTGTACATAGGCCGGGCCCACCTCACGTTATGGGTAAGTGCTCATGCTGTGAGTAAGTGCCCATAATGGCTTCCTCCTTCGAAGATCTATTTGCATGAGTTAGCCTCTTACTTGTAGACCAAACCCTTGCTTCCTCGCACGCACCGCATTGCCGGCCGAGTGTTCCTCCGAAACGCCCGGCCTGCAGATGCCCTGTTTACAGGTGTCCCACTTCCCACCACAAACCAATTCCGTGCTAAAACTTGTTGGCCTACTAATGCTATATATCTGTGGTCCGCCGATCATCCTCATGCTGGTCTGGAAACTGATCACAGCCGGCCGGGCGTGTTGCACAAAGTCTCGGCCGGCGGATGCACAGTCTACATCAGTCTGCCAAGGGACCGCAGCAACTCCCGGCGTGGAATGCTGGTAGAAGTTATGATAAGTGGACTTTTGGTCTGCCGTTTATATAGTGGTATCTTCGGCCCCTACAAACAGCTGGCCGATGGATCACATGTACCGGCCGGCCGGCGCATGCGGGTATAGCGCCGCGTTCGGCCGGCCGAATGCTCCTTATTCACACCGCAGCATTGGAATCTATGTACATATCCATAAACGTCTGCTGTGCATCCCTGTGCAGGCGTTCAAACATTGCAGCTCGCCTTCGGCAGTAGGGTCGGAACCCGGGATAGGTCTCGTTATCCTCCACGCCGGCCATGTCCCGCCATCTCTTACTTTCATGAGTGAAGTATCGTCGGACCGAATCCAGTTCACGTTTGAGGAGACCTGCTTCCTCTTGCAGCCGGTCCACCTTTGAGCGTGCCTGAAACCAATGTACGCGATGGACTGCCCAATTGGTCAGTGGGGCTGCGGGCCGGAGAAGGTCGGAGTACTGACTGACTGCTAGGCCATTATCTCCTATGATGTCGCCTTCGACATCAACGTTCCAGACCCAAGACGGTGATTTATGACGCTGGCCGCGTTTATTGGGCTCTGCTATGGCGGTACTTACCTTTAGGTCATCCGGCTGTAGTGGCTGATATTTTCGGCGATCGGCCTCGGTCATGCCCAGAACCAGCATGGCCGCCCGAGCCCTACGATACACTGCGGCCTGGATCTGGACAGCACGATCGAGCTTTGTCATTGAAGTCCATGCTCGGGTACGCTTGGTGTTCCCTTTGCCATGGCGGACACTGGTACGAAACTGGAAGGACTTCTGCCCAAGTAGCACCCGCAGTTGTTGAAGGGAATCATTAGCCTGGCCCCGCCGAAGCACGATTTCCCGACTGGCAAGAAGCGCGATGCCATGCTCCTCGCGCACGTCCATTGGGAGGTTGGATGGTAGGCCGAGGGCCGTCTCTTCAGATATAGCCCGGCTGTAAGGAGGGGGTGGCCGGCTGCTGAACACTGCCCACGGGCTGTTTGGCTGTCGAGGAACAACAGGGCCTTCATCCTCCCACTCGTTATCTTCATCATCCTCGTTATCCGAGCCCTCTCCTACTACGAAGTGGTTGCGCCGGGCAATTTCATGCGCTCGACTGTGGAAGCGGCGAATTCTAGTCTCCAGGTTCTTCCTCTCCTTCCCCAGCTTTAGGAGCTGCGCCCCGGTGGCCTTGTCCCCAATTTGATTTGCGTGTTTCTTCACTTTAATCCTGCCTGGAGTTGAGATTTAAATCGTCATTTATGAGGAGGACACACGCAACTGTATTTCCTCCAGCTTTAGGCCTTCTGCAATCCAGGCCGCAGTGCCAATCGTGGCATCGTCATCGCCTTCCTGCTCTGTCAATTCCAGTTGAAGTGCAGCCTGGGATGGGGCTATGGTCCACATGAGAAGGCCGTCGGCCGGCTGTTCATACACTACTCACCGATCTGTTTTGGAGGTTGGTATCGGTCCATAACCTTTACGTTTCGGAGGCGTTGCCTCTGCGCCGTATCAAGCTCTGCCTTCCAAGCCTGCAGCCGCAGTGGGCTGACACCTGCTTCCTTCGCCGAGAGGTCGCGCTTCATGTCGGCAAGCACCGGCCGATTAGCTTTGATTTTCCGGCGAAGGGATGTAACTGCCCCGGATGTTAGCATGCGCCGGCCGGTGAATGGGACAGAGACGAACCCATCGTGATCATCTTCTTCCAGTTCCAGTCGTTCATGTGCCGATCGAGTGTTTCTTGCCTGTGAGAAGTGGACATGGTTCTTGTACTACCTGATATGCGATTCATGCATGACCACTGCGTCTCAACGATCTCGCCATCAACCTCGCCGGCCCCGATCATGTACGTCGGCGAGAAGCGATACTCGCACTCTGGTTTGTGGCCGTGGACATGAAAGAGGCCTATACACTTGTAGAGGACAAGACGGGGTGGTATTGAAAGGTACGGGCTGTGCTCAAATCGGGCGTTCATGTGCACACCCCACTGACACATGATGTCGTAAAGTACGATGACCCGGGTACACCCTCGCGATCGGTATTTCAGCGCGTTTGACAGAGAATAGTCCATGTTCATCTGGCGCTCTCCCTTCTGGAAGTTCACCACTGAATGTGGTACAAAGCACCCATGCCTGGAACAGGCCGTCGCACCTATCCCCGTCACGGCGAGCTTGTGCCTGTCGGCATTGGCTTGGGATACAGCCTTATGATCGTTACATGTAGATTTCTATGACACGCGCACTTAGCGTATTTCCTCCGCCATATTGACCTTTACTCACCACGACGACCTCTTTGGCCACTTTGAGATGCTCGGCGTACGGGGTAGGATTGACCATGAACATCTTGCCTGGCATGAGTGGCACATCATTCCCCGGCACACGCATCTTCATTTGCTCAGCGTGGAAATTGCCGTCCATCGCATATCCACGCGCGTACAAGTACCTTGACATTGAGTTAGCGTTCGCCGGCCGGTGGTTGCAAGCCACCTACTCTCTGTCGTCGACCTGCCAGTCATCAGGTATGTTAATACCAGGCTGCGGACAGGCCGCACAGAAATGCGCCAAGTCCCCGTCGCCCGGCGGTCCACGCCAGGCCGGGCCATATCCAAACTCCTTCTTCGCCTGCAGCAGTGTCCACTGCCGGCTGACCCTCGCAAGCTCTCGGTAGCGATCCTAGTGTTTAATTTAGCATCATCGCGTGTTTTCTATTGTAATAGGCTCACAGGGACCTCATGCGGGAATAGTGGGTCTGTCAGCCGGCGTATTCGGCGATAATAATTCATGGCGGTGGTTTTACACTCCAGATTATCCAGCAGGAAGTCATCCAATACCTGGAACGTGAAGCAGGTCCTCGCCTCACGCTGACTGGCGGGATAGAGGCCACAATCGAGCATCTGTAACGTATGACTCTTCGCGCCCAGACAGCCGCACCATCGCACAGGTAAATAGTGGACCCCGGAGGTGTCAACGATCGTCATCATGGCGGCCGGGGGACGAGGAGGTGGATCGGCATCGCGAAGCGGGTCGTCCTCGGTGTCTTCTAGGTTCTCCTCATCTTCCTCCGTCTCATCCTCAGCATCTGTTCCACCCCCATCCTGCTGGCCCACGGCCTCCTGGGCGAGGGGGCACTCGCCACCCCGATGGCCTAGATTGATGACTACGCCGACGTCGCGCAGCCATGCCGGGGCCCAGTACCCATCCAGTTTCCACCGCTCGACACGATGAAAAGGTGTCCGGCGATGTGAGGCCAAGCAGCAAGACGCGCAGTAGATGGGCCATCCGATACAAGATAGGCACTTCCAGACTCCTCCGCCGGTGTTACAACCAGAGCAGATGAAGCCCCCGTCAGCACCAGTGGTTGGGTGTTCGCACTGGGCATAGACGGCTTTCAAATAGTCGTGTTGGAGGGGAATCCACTCCCGGAGCATGTCGGGTTGGGTCTGGCGAATTGAATCAGAGTCCGCGCTGCCCCCCAAATATGACATCAAGTACCTGTGGGGCTGCCTTTCGAACGTCCAAAAAATCGAATATGTTGTGTCCAACGGGTGGGCTATCATGACGAAGAGAGCTTGTGTCTTGGGTTGATGTTCGAGTGCTCCGATGCGGCGTTGGCGGAGGGGTTTGCAAACCTTCATTCCGCACTTGCACCAGCCGCGTTTTCACACCTCGAGTGGTACGGGTCCTACTAAATGCAAGCTCTACCACGCTAGGTGAGCTCGCTCTGGGCTTGAGCCTCACCATAGAGAGAATATGTCAGGAAGGTCACTGAGCTGAGGCAATGTGATTCACGGTCCGGCCGGAGGACTCTGAGTCGCGGGGCGGCAGCAGACAAATGAGGGGCAACAGTCAACAAATGCTCACAGAGTCCGATATTTTTCCCTGTCACGACACTCAACGAAATGCAGCAGGTCACGCAATGGTGCGGCCGGTCACTTCCCGAGTTCAACGGGACCGGGTATCGACAATCATATCTGGGGGACGATCTGAACAGCGATCCACAGTATCCCCGTGGATCTTGGGCCTGAGATTGGGATCGCAATCAGACTCTAGCGACTATCGGAGATCATATCCTACCGGCCGCAGCTCAGTTCCGGGCGTATACAGTCATGCGGCCGGCTTTAGTGTCGGCCCGACCATTCAGCCAGGTCACGTGTCCGGCCCAACCGACGCTGTCGCCGGATGCCTCGGACTAAGGCAGATCTGCAAAGCGATTTGCATGAGTAGCTCCTCGGCCTCGATCAGTGCAGTCGAGAAGCGCAAGTTAGCGCGGTAAGACAATCTGACACCCGCCCCCCCGGCCGCTCGTTGGCGACCGGGCCGGACCGGCCATTATGTTGGGCACGGTTGACCGGGGCAAGTAGAGTGCCAATTCTCGGGGCACCAATCAGATGAAAATATTGGGGGAGTCACAGCGATGTGATTCTCAAGTCCACGCACCCGTCTTAATCGGCCGACGTGGCGGCCGGCCATGTTTGCAACGAGCCGGCCGGGGAGTGACCTGCGAGAACCATGTTCACTGTAGACGAGGATACTGACAAATTATACGAGCTATGGGTATCATTTGAAAGCTCTACGTGCGCTGCGTCGTACTGAAATCCTGGGCAAGACGGGATGAAGGCCTGTTGACCATTACTGGCTCAATCACCCTGCGCGTATCTCCCAGACTTTAATAGACGCCGAGGCTTCCTGAGCAACCCAGCACGCAAGTCCTCAACCTTTACTGCATTCAATCGCTTCGTGCAGCCCACTCCACATCCGTGATGGCCCCGACCAGCTTCTGGCAAAAACGCGACATCGTAATCCTCGCCGACAACCTTCAGGACTGGAAGGATGCTGAGGGAGATGATGAACGTCAGGAGGAGCTGGTCAAAAATACCATAGAAAGGCTCCAGGATCTCCGAGATTATCAGTTCGACAGAGAGACTCGAGAGGTACGCAGGGGGACATGACACGAGACACACCTTGCTCACTGTTCACAGCTCGTGGCAAAGTGGTATACGGACCAAAGGGAGGAACGCGAGAAGCTGAGGAAGGAGATGTTCAAGCTAGGGAAGGATGTCAGCTGGCAGACGGTCGCAGCGAGGGAGAGGGAGGGCGACCTTGCGGATATCATCGCTGATCTGGGTCAGGGCAGGGAGAAGGATCCAAAAGTATACTTATCCCTTTACCAGACTGCCCGCTCCAAGCTGTGCAAGGGCATCTCAAAGAAGGAAGAGGAGGACTACCGTGCCACGGCGGACCTATGGAACCGGACAGAGTGGCCGCCCGACCTGCAGCAAAAGACGCTCCTGAGACACGGGACCGACATGGTCCTGGACTTCCAGAGGATTATGTACAGGAAGACCGGGCTGAGGACGTTCATCCTGGGCTTCGTGAAGGCTGACAATGGCCGGCCGGGAATTGTGCAGTACGTATGTGCCTCGGTGTGCCTATTAACTCCCCAAACTAACGGCACCCCAGATTCGACTTCAATGATCAATTACCCATCAACGGAGAAGAAGGCAGGGAACCGCCGAAGTTCGTCGACGCCTACCCGGACTTCAAGCGGGGCCATACGTACGAGATGTGGAAGAAGTATGCGGAAGACGTGATGGGTGAGTGGCCGGGATGCAGCGTCATGGGAAAGGCACTAATACCAATGGTACAAGATGGCGATGGCTTTCCCGCCGACGGGCAACTCGGCGCGGCGCAGCTCATCGCGAATCTCGACTGGGAGCTCGACGAAGACAGGTATCCTCTGCTACCTGACGCCGATCACGAGTGTTTTGCCAAGACTGACACGAAGCGAGCCGTCCTCGGAACGTTCGTTCGTATGACATACAGTGCGTGCCACCTCCTACAGCATTACTACGTGCTTACGACCCGCCGGCCAGGACGGTACACCGGCCGGCCAAAGGCCAAGGTACCCTGGCAATCCTTGTCGGAGGAGTCGGACACGTTCATTGACGAGGCCTTTCTTCCCGCCGGGCATGTTCTCAGTGATCCAAACAAGATGCGGGTTGGTGACCTGGATGCCATCCTGAAGCATTGGCGCGAGCGGCAGGATGACCAAGGTAATCTGCTGGTCTTCAGATTCAAGGCCTGGAGGAACTCGAATCGCGAGGTGGTGGTGATCGACGAGAGCAACGAGGAGCGCTACTCAGACGACGAGAGCTCGTCGAGCGACGAAGAGCCTCCGCCAAAACGGGCGCCGGCCGGCCGGCCGCCTGCCCCGGCCCGGCGACAAAAGCGATCGCCAACGCCAGACAGTAGCGACGCTGAGGCAGAGTTTTTCCAGGGCGGGGACATCGACAAGAGCTACAACTCGTTGTTTGAAGACCCCGCCGGCAGCGATGATGATGACCAAGAACCGTCTCCGCCGCGGCTCACGAAAGCGGACAAGGGCAAGGCCCGGGCCAATGCGGCGAGCCCATCTCGCCCGGCATCTTTTCTGCGCGGTCCGTCCAACGCCACCACCAACCAAGCGGACCGTCCGGCGAAGCCTGCCAAAGATGTCAGCCAGAAGCCGACATCTGCTACCGCTAAGAAGACGACGTTCAGGCCGGCGTTTCCCCCGGGCACTGGTCCCGGCCGCGGCTCAAAGACGAAAGGGGAGAACAAGGGCACGAAGGACAGATCGGCCAGCAATCCCAACACCACGGGTCCGAGTGCTGAGCCCGCCGCCGTGCAGAAGGCGACTGCTAGGCCCAAACCACGTGCGATATTCATCGGTCTTCGACCCATTGACGTGCTCACATTGAACACAGGTCCGCGACGGCAGCCGGCCGCCGAGCCCGATCCCACGGAGGATGCTGCAGAGGCGCCTCCAGATGAACGGCGGAAGGCACGGCGAAGCGACGAGGATCAAACCGCTGGAGCAAGGCCAGCAAAGCCCAAGCCTGGTGAGCGGACAATGTCCTCAGCGTACCGGACAATACACTTACCATAAGCACAGTTCCCCGACACAAGGTCCCTAAGCCCGCGGCCGACGCAGATGGAGCAGAAGGGGCGCCGGTAAATGAATCGAAGGCCGCTCCGGCACGTGGGGGGAAGCCTGCAAGGCCCAAGCCAGGTAAGCGGAAAGTGTCCTCGGCGGACTAGACAATCCACTCACCATAAGTACAGTTCCCCGACTGAAGGTTGCTGAACCCTCGGCCGACGCAGATGGAGCTGACAGTGCGCCGGCGAATGAATCGAAGGCCGTCCCACCCAAGGGCAAGCCGAAGCAACCGGCGACGAAGGAGACTGCGCCGAAAAGCGCCAAGCCAGCGGCCGCGTCATCCAAACAGGCGGGCAGCAGTCGCCGTGCGTTGGTACCAGCTGAGTCCGACGCCGACGACGACGAAGTGCAGATCGTGGGCCACACAAAGAAGGTGGTACCCGTCCGGTCGCCGTCAGACCCCGACTACGACAGCCCGGTGACCGTCGAGAACACCCGGCTGGCCCGTCGAACATACCTGCTGTCTATGACATCAGAGGATGGCACAAGGGGGATGGTTGAGGCAACCGAACATCTGGTAAGATCAGATCATGCAGAGTTTGGCGTTGAGCTGACAAGCCCTCGCCAGCCGGAGAAGGGTGGATGGAGCTCGAGCACTCGGTGGGAATGGGCACGATGGGACTATCCCCGGGAGACGTGCTCCCACGTCATTCATACCAAGCCGAACGTTCTCTCGCAATTCCGCCGGTGGCTAACGCTGATGGAAGGTTCCTTGGCCGAGAATACCATCGGGCAGGACGATGCCTTGCTCGTCGCCCTCGCGATCCTGTCGGTTATCCGTGACATCGAGACCAAGGTTGATCACCGAAGCGAAGACGAGATACCGCAATACGTCCTTGAATCCCAGATGGGCGAGAAAGTTGTCGCGGAGCTCGTGAAGCATTGCGAAGCCCTCGCTCAGCTCTTTGTCAATATTGCGGCGTACGCACAGAGGAAGAGAAAAGCCGGCCCAGACGACATCTCCGCGATTGGAGCGCGCGTCAAGCGTCATCGCGGAGACGACTCAGCCTCGCCGGCGAAGCCTACAAAGCCTGCAAAGGCTACGGCGAGTAGCAAGGCCGGTCCATCCAAACCGCCAGCCAAGGGCAGTAGCAAGGCCGGTCCATCAAAACCACCAGCCAAGGCCCGACGTAAGTAGCCTGCGTTCCACATGTTCTCGCACGATGCGCCGTTCTGTCATTTGTATGCACTGCGTACGTGTACGTCAATGGTAGAGACAATGTCGCAGATTCCCGAGGGGGTTTGACTTGATGTCACGGCCGGCGGATTGCACAGGTCTACCGGCCGAGAATTTGCTCGCTGGGGCCGGCCGGCTGATGTATCCTTTGTATTGGCCGGCACTCATATAGCCATCACCCGTCGACCGAGAAACCTCTGTCGGGAAACAAAAGCAACAACCCAAACACCATGAAGTGTTGCTTATCTCACTCTGAAAGCAATATACCTGGGCTGACCATAGCCATTTGGAATCACGGCGGCCGCCTGAGGATACATTCGCCGGCCGGGTGATGCACCATTGGCTTCGGCCCGCGACCACACAGTAAGCGGCCGGCGAGTGACAGTGAGCCTTCGGCGAATGTCTTTGGCTCGGCGGAAATGCTTATATATGGGACCTGCAATTGGCAATCACGGTATACGCGCGCCGCTTCAGCCCACTGACACTTTGATCAAGCCGAGCGAGTCACACATTCATTACGACAGCTCCAAGTTGCGAGGTATTATTACATTGTACATTTGAATGAGACATACATTTCTCCCTTCATTCCGTGGTGTCCATTGCAGCAGTGGTGGGCTCACCTGTCTCCGGTCGTTCTTCGTCATCTGCAGTGCCTCCTATCTGTTCCCCATCCATCTGCGGAGCATTGCCCGCCGGTGCTGGCATCGGCGGTCCGTTGGCAGTGGGCACCGCTTCTGACCTAGGTGCCGCCCCGACTGAAGACACACCTTCGGAGGTGGTGGAGTGCGCCTCGGTAATCGGGGCGTCCCCTGGGGCTGAAGCAGGCACGGCGGTGGTCAACGCAACCTCGGCGGTCAGCGCAGCGGTGGTCAACGCACCCTCGGCGGTCAGCGCAGCGGTGGTGGTGGGAACCCCGCCGGTCAGCGCAGCGGTGGTGGTGGGAACCCGCCGGTCAGCGCAGCGGTGGGGGGGGGGGGGGGGGGGGGGGGGGGGGGGGGGGGGGGGGGGGGGCCGCGGTCAGCGCAGCGGTGGTGGTGGGAACCCCGCCGGTCAGCGCAGCGGTGGTGGTGGGAACCTCGCCGGTCAGCGCAGCGGTGGTGGTGGGAACCTCGCCGGTCAGCGCAGCGGTGGTGGTTGGAGAAGGCTCGGCAGTGGCTTCAGGCTCGGCGGTGAACGTTGCCTGAGTGGCGGGTGGACAGACGACGGCGCTCGCATGTTCCGTGCTGGCGTCCACCCCGAGCTTAGCCTCGGGACCGGTGTCCGACACGGCACTGACGGCGGTACCACTGCCCTCCGGTGCTGCTGCCCGTACCGTCTCTTCACCGTGTACGGTGCCGGCGGCCTTCACGGTGGGTTCGGCGTCGGTTAGTGCACCACCCTCCACGGCCTTGGCTTGCTCGAGTTGGGCAGCTGTCGAAGATGCCCCGGGATTGACGGCGGCAATTGGCAGAGTGCTTGATGACTGTGCTTGACGGAGAGGAAGATTCTTGAACAGGTCGGGCGGAATCCAAGCCCTCTGAAAGGCCAGTCGCAGGTCGGACATGGAGGCCTCAGCCGGCGGCGTACGTCCACGCGTTCTGAGTGTGGACGACGTTGGAACGGGAACCTGACTTATCGTCCGGCCAATCGGGGTGAGATTGGCCGGGCGTGCGCTTGCTGTGGTGATTGCAGACGGCGGCAATCCAGTTGGCTGTGGCACGGGCGGCGGATGATCCACTGACGTACTCGGCGGAGAGACCCTCGTCGTCACTTCAGACGGACGCTCGACGTTGGGCGCAGGTTGTGACGCGTCGTCTTCAAGGGGCCGGGACTTCTCCGGTTGAGGCCTCGGGGAGGGGCTGCGGCGTGGCCAGGGACGATCGGGGCTGGGCGTGACGGACATGCGGTCCATCATCTCCTCCTCGACGCCCTCCTCGTCGGCCAAGGGACTCCATCGAACGGGGGGCGATCCCCCTTCACTGTAAGAACCCGTATCCTCCCACCCCATGTTCATCTGCATCCTGTTGACCATCTCCCGGATGACGGTGACGTAGGTTGGATTTCCGTCACCGGCGAGCCACGCGCGACCTTGCGACTGATGAGCCGTGAAGTGGACAACGACAGGCTGAATTTAATGCTTACTGATAAGGCGTTGGTCCTCCCGCAATGCCCTGTTGGCAACCTCAAGCGCCACGATGCGCTCGCTCATACTCCCGACCTGGTCTTGCAGCTCCTGGATTCGGAGGGCCATGATATCGGGCCGCATGTCTTCTGCATGGACGACCGAGATTGGTAGGCCAAGCGCCGGGCGGACCTTGCTGTTTGGCATCACTGGGTATACGCGTTCTGCGTAGTTTACATCAGTGACCGACAGGACAGCGACCGAAAACCTACTTATATCAGCGGGGTCGAGCTCGGGCCCCTGAGCTTTGTTCGCCCTTCTGCGCTTCGGCGCAGCGACAGTGCTCGGGCCAGCCTCTGCGTTCTGTGGGGCCGTCTCTGCCGGGGCCGTCTCTGCCGGGGCCGTCTCTGCCGGGGCCGTCTTTGACGGGGCCGTCTTTGATGGGGCCGTCTTTGACGGGGCCGTCTTCGCTGGGGCCGCCTTCGCTGGGGCCGTCTTCGCCGGGGCGGTCTTCGCCGGGGCCTTCTTTACCGGGACCTCCTTCGCCGGTGCTTTCTCCGCCTGGACCTCCTCCGCCTGGGCCTTCTTCGCCGGAGCCTTCTTCGCCAGGGCCTTTCGCGCCGGGGCGGCCTTGGGACCCGTACTGACCTTGCTGGGTGGCTTTGCAGTCACGGTGGTGGGAAGGCGGGAAGGCGTAGCGCTTCTGCGCGTAGTCCTGCGGCTGGCCGTTGTCGCGACCGAGCCGGCGTCGCTGTCGTCGTCGGACCCGTCGGCCGTCGTTGGAGGGGCCTCGGCATCGCTTACTTCCGCGTCGCTGGCCACGCTGCTGGCCCGTGATGAAGACCGCCGTCGGGGCCCACGCGCTGGCTGGAACGTGCCGTCGGTGTCGATGGGCTCACACTTTATCTTCTTGACGTGGCAGAAGTCGCAGGCGGGGGGCAACTTTCGGAGAGTGCCGTCGACTTTGAATTCGGATCCCCTGGGTGCCGAGATCTGGCAAGGGAAGCCCCTGCACCAGATGCATGTGTACGGCTGTAGGAAATATCCTGTTAACATGGAACTTTGCAGAACGTGTCGGTTCACTTACCATGGGCCGCACGTACTCGAGCCTTCGCGTCTTCTCTTTGCTGTAGTCGATTTTGAACTTGGCACGCTCTTCGTTCATCTCCTCGGCCGTCGCCTTCAAAATGCCTTTGGATGGCTTTGCTAAACCGGGGAGTGAATGTTAGCTCAGGGCGAAGTCAACATTCTGTCGCGCTAATGCTCACCTTTCTTCGCCGGGCGGCGGGCTTCCTGCTGCCCAACCTCCTCATCCTCCAGCTCGCTCTGTTCGGCGTCCTCTTCGTCCACTTCCTCGTCAACCACGGCAGCCTTCGAGCCCAATCGCCGCTTTTCTTTCGTAGGCGGAGGGGGGTGGCCGCTCGCTTGCGCTTTTGGCCGGCTGACACCTTCCGTTTACTTACCGACGCGGCCGGAACGGCCTTGCCTTTCCCTTTCTTGTCCACGACCACCTCTTCCATGTCCTCCTCGACCGGCATCTCCTCCTCACCGTCTTCTCCAACATCCATCTGCCCACTATCTACCACTCCATCCATTCCCTCATCGTCCTCCTCGTCGGCCGCCAGGTGCTGGAAACGAACAGTCTGCGGCTCTCGAGATGGGCCGGGCTCCGGGGCTTTCGTGGGGACGGGCGGCGGCAGACCGCTGGGAGCGAGCGGATTGAGCCAACGGCACTTTGCTACTCGGGGGTCGTCGGGCCGGATGTTGGAAAAGAGCACGGGAGCCTCCTTCGTCGAGTAGCTTAGCTCGAGCATGGCGGAGAGCAGGAGCCTGGGTGCCTTCGGGCGTGCCTCTGGGCTCATGTCCTGAGACCACGCGCCGAAGACTTGGTAGACAGCGGGGTCCTGTGATGCGATGTTAACGGCGCCCGCGACATTGGGAGCAAGCGACTTACAATGAGCTTTTCAAACTTCTCGCGCTGGGATGGTGTGTTAGGTAACCTACATAGCGGGAATGGTATTCCACGCCTACCTGCTTCGCGGACAACAGCTCCTTTTCCTTCTTCTCCACAAGACCGCCGCCCATAAGTGTCAGCAGGTGGCCATTGACGCGCGCCAGGTACATGTCGAGGTCCGGCTGCGTGATGATTGGGGCCGTGTTGCGGGGCATTGTTAAAACAAGCGGCGAGACGAGATGCAAAGCACAGTGTTGGAGTAGAGGGGACAGGCGAGTGGTGAGCGACGCGATGATGGACGCGAGAGCGAAGCCCGGCGATCACAAAGTTCAAAGCCACACGTGTCACGTGGTCCCGGCGCGGCCGCGGGCGCGTTAGCCGAAAGCGAACTTCGCCGATCGGAAGCCACATTTGGTTTGTGCAGCCACAGATCGACCGCCACTCTGCTCACTTCCACATCACAATGTCCGGAAGAGGTACGTGGCCATGAGACATCTTTTGTAAGTCACTGACGCCGCGCCTGGCAGGTGCACGAAAATCCACGCGTGGGCGAGCCCAGTCGGCGCGCCTGGTGAGGCGCAGCACGCCAAATACCGGTGTCCCCCCCGGTAAGACCATGGATTTTGCCGAAGATTCCGCCGATGCTCAGGTATGCAGCGTCGCAATGCATGCATTACTTTCGGCTGGTTAACTGTTACAGGCCGGTCGTCAATTGCCGAGTCGCGATGGCGTTGACCTTGCCACGTCAGCTGGCGAGCGTACCGGGCGGCAGCCCAAAAGCGTTGTTCGCGGACGTTTTGCCATTCCCATGGAGGAAGACGAACCGGTGCCAGAAACGTCATCGGTGTGTATTGTTTACTTCTCGTATTAGCTGAGGATCGAAACTAATACATTACGCAGAATGTGCGCTCTGGTGGACGCTTCAAGATCCCGATGGACGACGAGACACCCTCCGGACGCTTCAAGATCCCGATGGAGGACGAGACACCCTCCGGACGCTTCCACATCCCGATGGAGGACGAGACGCCCTTGCCATTGCCAGCACCAGTACGTATCGCTCCACCGTACTCGTGCCATATATGCCGCTGATTGAAGTTCCAAGACCCGCACAGCCAAGAATAAAAGGTCTGCCCGTGCCACGTCCGAGTTAGGATCAGGGGCGCATCATCCCTTCCGATTCAAGATCCCAATGGATGACAACGACGAGGTAAGCCAGCAGTGTGAAGTGTGGCTGCGATCAAACCTCACACAGCGGCAGGGGCACACAAGGCAAGAGAACTCCGAACCTCAGAGGCGGGCAGGGACCATGGCGCGCGGTAGAATTGCGATCCCGATGGACGAGGCAGAGGCCGTAAGTGTTCCTGACAGTACTTCGAAAACGCGTGGGTTGCTGACGGTCTTCATAGAATGAATGTGACGTTGACCAGGAAACGTCTGGATTGCTGGCGGCCCACAGTGGCAGCACCGCGGTGCCCGACAACGTGCACAAACCACCTGCCGCCTTGCCTGTAAGTGGAAATTCGGAGTCCGGGGCCCAGGATGGGATGGCGAACGCCCGGGAGTCGATTCCCCGGAAAAGGTCACCACCGGCAGCCACACCGCGGGTTCAAATGCCGCCCCGGCCAAGTCCACGCCTCCCTGTGGAACCTCCCACAACTCAAAGGTCTGCACGACCAAAAGGAATGACCACTACGGGGGCTTCACAGTTGCCTGGTGCGTCTCCTCGATTCTCGCGCACATCAGGCGGAGGACAGCCGGCGGGTGATGTAGGCATGCCCGAACTGAGTATGAAACAAGCGCAATCGTCTTCTTCAACGATATCCGACTTGCCGAGGGTCCCTGACGATGGGCACGATCGAACCCTAATGGAACAGGTATGTTCGTCTACGATGCGACCGGTTACGGACTAATTAGTGCCTTACAGCCGGAGAAGATTACTTACGCTCCTCCGGACACTAGGGAGAACGGTCAGTATTCCTGATGTTCAAAGAGTCCGTGGCAGGAAGACAACCGAATATTCATGTATTCTGTCTCTGTCACTGACACGTACGATCCCGCGCACCACATATGGGAGCCGGACAGTACACCGTCGGCCGAGTCACTGGACTGGGCGGACAACTGTACTGCGTGCTCGGGGTACCGTGACAATCAGATGCTGACACACTGGTTGCAGGACCGGCGCTCACAGCGGCAACTGCGACGAGGGTTTTGGAGTTGACAGCTGAGCGTGGAATTATACTCGCCCGTCTGGAAGCCCTCGGAGCGCTTCAAAATGCGAACGTCAACAACATGGAGGCTGTCGATTGGATTCGTGGGTGGTACCGCTTGCGTTCCCAGACGGAGCGTGTGGAATGAGAGAGTTAGATTTTCTCAATGTATCTTTAGTGCCGCATAATGTTCCAGCGAAATACCGCGTGAGGTGGCAGGGAAAGTGACCTGAGATTGCCGGAAGACGATGACAGCATACAGGTGTACACCGGCCGGACAGTGAGCTCCTTCGGCCGGCCAGTCAGGGTGCACGGTCTACCTTTGCCTGCAGGCGATGAGAGTGAAAAAGTGTTAATTAGCCAGGAGACCTGGAGTCTTTGCGGGGTACACGGATGTGCAGATTCTAACATCGCCCGCAGGGTTTGAAGGCAGATCCGCGTGCGCCGGCCGACTGGTGCGTATCTTCGGCCGGCGACTAGGACGTGCGCAGCCACGGTACTGAGCCGGCCATCATTTGTTACAGCACCAACTGCACTATTATACGGACTGACGAAACATGTTGACCGTGCTGGGTTTGATCACATCCCCGACAGGGTATGAAAGGAAACTTGCGCCCGCCGGCCAGACGCTCTGTATCTTCGGCCGGTGAGTTTGACCTGCGGAGTGCGGAGAGTGACCAGGCTATTGTTAATTGTGAACGCAACTGCACAGATATACCAGCTGACGGAACATTTCGACTTTGCTGGGTTTGATCACATCCCCGGCAGCTATGACAGCAGATATGCGTTCGCCGGCCGGACTGTATGGAGCGTCGGCCAGCGACTCAGAAACGCGGAGCCTCCATCGCTTGCAGGCAGTAGGGAAATCCATGTGTCCGGAGTGCGGAGAGTGACCAGGCTATTGTTAATTGTGAACGCAACTGCACAGGTATACCAGCTGACGGAACATTTCGACTTTGCTGGGTTTGATCACATCCCCGGCAGCTATGACAGCAGATATGCGTTCGCCGGCCGGACTGTATGGAGCGTCGGCCAGCGACTCAGACACGCGGAGCCTCCATCGCTTGCAGGCAGTAGGGCAATCCATGTGTATGCCACCACGACCATTCACATTGTCCGACTGCATCCCCATGGTCTCTACACTGCTGCATTGTTCCTGCAGTGGACAATCTGAGCCTCCTGTTCTCCGGTGGGACCGTTGGTGTGCTCTACCAGCACCCCCAATATCTGCATGCCCAAACTCTTCCCCCGCCATTATATTCATCTCATAATGTCCGGCCGGACCGATCGAAACGTTCACATTAAATATGTCGTCGCTATCCCTGCCCTTGACGCGAGGGCGTTACACTGACTTCATGTGACCGGCCGGACCGTTACCAGCGGTTATTGCTCTGTGTGATATGCGGCCCACTGTACAGCCCTTGGTTGAAGTCACACGGGAACGCTTCCGCCCGGACCGCTTACAACGTTCTTTATAGGAGGGGGACAGAACCTAGTCCGCTGCCGACTTTGTTCGGTTTGTAGACCGGCCGGCACGCTAGGTGTGGTATACAAAGGCAACCGGCCATGTCGCTAGAAACGCCCTAGGCGATATGCCGGAGGCGGTGGCCGGCACGTTGTGGGCGATGAACTTGAAACCCGACCGTGACGTCACAATTATTTGACAGTCATTCGGCCGCACCGCCATAGCAGTGTTATGCATGCTACGGGCCGTGCCGTTGTATACGGCACGCAAGGTATCTCGGCCGTCCCGTATTGCATATCATTGAGTAAAACACTACTCCGGCTGTGTCGTTGCAGACCTTCGTGCCTACCCACCGGCCCCAATGCTATTAACATCTGGTCTGGTCTGCGGCCATTACGCCTGCAGCGTGCGGCGTGTTCCTCCGGGCGGCCTCCGGCCCACCGTTTGCAACGGGCGAAATGCACCCCGGGTGTACCGTTAGTATCGGATAGGTATCACTGAATAATGTGCTTGAACGGCAGACAATGATGGTACTGCTCGCAGAATTCTCTCGCTGCTTACCATCGTACTTCATGACGAGGCTTGGCGAGAACTCCAACGTCCTTGCTTGCCCTCCACGAGCCTTGAGTCCTGCACAGAAGGAAGAGCTTGGGGCCCTCGGTGCCATCGTCGGCCTCTGCTTGGTGAATGGTATGGCAATCCCGAAGATCACAGGAGAATGGTTGATCTATCTTCTCAATGGCTGCAACTTTGAGGCGATCACGCGCGAGGTCACACAGGCCTTCCATCCTCGTCTCGCAGCGGAGATCATCCAGCTCGACAGCATTGGGCCGACTGGCGATCTCACACCATTTGAAGAAGACTTTGTCATTTACCTTGGGAAGCATGTAAGTCGCCACACATGATCTGCTTTGTAGATGACGAGACGAGATTTTGCAGACTGCATTATACACGATTCGTGACGAAGAAACCCATGCTGCTTTTGCCCCAATGCTCCTGTACAAGGCTCTGCTAGGCGACGACACTGTTGCAGAGCATACCGATACTCGTGCTTTCCGCGCAGGCTTCGAGTTGCCGTGTCACAACGGGTTCACGTTGTCGAAGGTTCGTTAATGCAGCACTATCAGCCGAGGGACTACCTTTCTTACAGTCTTCTTCAGGCTGCTCAAGCATTCGCCGGTGGACCAGCTGCACTCGTGATGGCGGCCTGTTCGACGCGAATTGGCAGCTACGAAAGCCTCAAGCCTTACCTCGATATTATCGTCAAGCACACAGTCCCTCTTCCCCTGAAGACGATCGCCTTCGACGATGGGCGTGCCAGTCTAGGGGATGTGGTCAGGGGCTTCCTCCAGCGCACAGGCATTCCCTGCGCTGCGTCGTTCGAGAGGAAGCGAGCTGCCGGGACGTTCACCTCTGACCTCGTCTCACTTGAAGAGATCGACTCTCCGAGCTTCCGCCCTCGCATGCTCGCCATCGCTGCCACTGGCTCCGACTCGATTGTGGGTAGCGAGAAAATCAAGGTTCGTACTCGCAGCAGGTCTGCATCGTTAGTATGTATCTGGATCCTGAGTCGGTTCAATTTCCAGATCACTTTTGTTGGCAATAGTGACGAGGCCTATGCCTGCCCTGTCGCGAGCCGCGCATTCTGCGAAAAGGAAGGCATCGTCAGCTGGCAGACCTGCTTCAAGGAAGGTGTCGTTCCGACTGCCTACCTCGCACAGCTCGTCCACGAGGTATACGATCCGGATTCGGTGGACAAGCCGACGTCCCTCCTCAATGCAATCGACAGCTGGCTTCTTGAGGAATTGCTTTCTGCAATCGCCAGTCCCCACGGTGGTATCCTTTGATGTTCTCATTCAGTTCACAGGTTGAGGCGACTCGGGCCTGCTTTACGATCGTAGCGACGCCTGAGTCCTCCCTGCCTTTTCCGCATGGTCTTCGCGCTATTCTACCTTGCTTACCATTCGCACTTCATTCACTCATATAATACTCGTCGTATGTTCTATCTCCTCGCCGCTCGCTCGCAGTATGCACTCGTAGTCGTACAGATTCACCCCTGGCAGTTTTCGGGCTGCACTGGACCGTTATGGCTTAGGAACAGAACATCTATGAAAACAATGTTGGCTCTGAACTATCGTGCTGATTCTCGCTCTGCAGTTCGCATACACCAGCACTCCACCAGTCCTCGCCAGTCCTCGTCAGCCTGCCTGGAGGTGGCGGCGGAGGGGGCACGAAGTCACAATTGAGCGCGGCGCCCAGGATCGCGAAGCGCACGAGGGCGCAGGCGGCAGTTGCGTGCGCGCCGGAAAATGTTGCGCGGGGCCGCGAACGGCACGGACAAGGGCGGAGCGGAGGGACCAAGCTCCTCCCCGAGGCGGCGATCCAACTCCTTCGCCGCATCGAGCTGCCCACCGGGAGCGCCTTGACCTTGGCCGGGTAGCGGCCGGGCAGAAAGCCGCAACCTGCGGGATTCTTCTGCAGGCGAGTGGGGGCGGCGCGGAGCGGCCGGGGAGCACGCTGGGACCAGCAGAAAAGGCAGCGCCCCAGCCTCCCGCAACTTGCAAGCTGGGCGGCTTCAGCGCCGCGGCGCGCGGGAGGCAGCGGCCGCCAACCTGGGTGCCGCGCAGTGGTGGCTAGCCAGTAGGCGCAGGCTAGCCGGTTGCTGCTCGCGCGGGCGCGGCCAGGCTGGAGCCTGCAGGAACTAGAGGCGCAGCCGCGACCTCCCTCTGCTGCCCGGCGCGGCGAGGAGACTGGAGACTGCCGCCGAGTCCCCCTTTGGCGACCCTGCAGATGCGACCACCCGGGCCCTACCCCAACGCGAACATCGATGCAGGATCACCGCCGGAAGAGCTGCAGCTGAGCTTTAGCCAGTACCTCCAGAACTGCAAAAGCGCCAAGGCGCAGCCGCGACCTCCCTCCACTGCCCGGCGCGGCGAGGAGACTGGAGACTGCCGCCGAGTCCTCCTTTGGCGACCCTGCAGATGCAACCACCCGGGCCCTACCCCAACGCGAACATCGATGCAGGATCGCCGCCGGAAGAGCTGCGGCTGAGCTTTAGCCAGTACCTCAAGAACCGCAAACGCGCCGCGATGGTTGAGCCCGGGGTGCGCGCCGTTGCTGCCTGACCGCGGCCTTCAGGAGGCGTCCTCGGTGCGCGCGTTGCGGCCCCCGGCAACCTCGCGAGTGGGGGCGCAGCCCGGCTCTGCCGGCGTGCCGCGCGGGACCAAGCGCGGGTACTGGGCGGCGGAAGCCTGCGCCATTGCGGCGTTGCAGCAGCCAGAAAGCCTCTGGATGATGGCGGCCTTCATCGCAAACCTGATCCAGTCGAGAGGGACGAACGAGATGACGCCCGGCAGGTGCGCAGGTAAGAGAATGCCGAGGGTCACAACAAGATAATCGAAGGCGTACCCAGACCCAGGCAACGCCCACCCCAAGTGGGATGCCGCGGATGGGAGCGAACCGCGTACACAGCGACGATCGTCGACACGAGCTGTACGACGCGGCACGCCGCGAACAGCGCGCGAACGAACCCATGCCAGCGCGCCGCGAAGTTGAGAGCCTGCGAGATGATGGTGACGTGGAAGTAGACAATCGAGTGAAGGGCACGGTCGTTGCGGGTCGTCGCCTGCGTGAGCCCTTTCTCCAACGTTACGCAGAATCTGTTGTAAAAAATTCGTCTTGATGCAGATAAAGAGCGACGAGGGCGATCGTGGACAGTGAGGTGGATACCAAAGGCGACGGCATACGAGAAAGTCTCGGCCAAGTCCCATTTGTCCGGGCTGTTCGAGGGCAGGACACAGCGAGGGTCATGATGGCACCGTCGCTAAGCTAGAGTCTGCTAGACGCACTGATGAGGTCGTGCGCGACGCGCGCGGCGAGTCCGCGTGAACGACGTTTGAACGGTGAGCGGGTTGTTTAGCGCCCGGCGCGCTGACTCGGGCAGCCACCACGACCGCTGGAGGAGACGACCGCTGGAGGAGGGTCGGAACGCGCCGGCGGTCAGGCGAGCTCGAACTGACACCTGACTAGCCGAACGTGAACCATCAAGCTTTCAAGCTTTAAGATCGCCCTCTACCCTCTCCGGTCTCCCTCTCCCGCTCTCCCGCTCGCGCTCCTGACCCAGCGGTTCGAATCTGGGAACCTCCACTCGACATCGCGTGGTTCTGCGTGACAGGCAACCTAGCCACGCGAACCAGGTCTCGCGCAACGCGCGCGCAAGTCCAACCTCGAGCGACAAGACTGTCCAGAACGCGACGAGTGCAGAGCGGGGATGATGTGAGGAGGGTAGGATAGTAGGGGCACGGGTGCGGGGAGCAGGGAAAGCGGGCAGGAAGCTTGCTCCAAAATCGACGGTACGCCTTCACTGGACGTGCCCACCCAGTCACTGCCGCCCCTCTCTTCGCCGCCGAGCATCGCGCATTGGGTACGCCGAGCCTACCGCTCGACGTACGTGCTCCTGACGAACACTCGCAAGCTACAGACAGGCGCCTCATTCTCCTCTCCTCCGCCTGTCTTCGTCGCCGGGAGGCCACTCGCCATTGCCCTCACCACCGGGTCCGAGTCGCCGCAGCCATCCCCCGCGGCCGCGCCCCACAGGCTGGTGTAACACACAAATCCTGCAGACAAATTTGTCGCGTTCTAATGCAGGCATGCCGCGTACGTAGCTCCGTAGTCGGGTTTTCGCATGGAGACTGACCCGCCGCGACTGCACTCGCAGTGTAGCAAAACGAGCCGACCGAACGCCCTCTCCCTCAGGCTCTTCTTCCACTCCCTGACCACCGCGCGCGCCTGCTCCTCGTCGGATGCACGCTCCTCCACTATCACCCAACACTGCCGCCAATTAGACCTCGCCATCCGCGATGGCAGCCGAAGCTGATGGCTTTTCACGCCGCCTCAAGATTACCGCTGCCGCTCTCCCCGTCCTTCATCCCGTCATCAGGCAGGCCCATCTGCCGGCAGTCCAAGCAAGCTCTACAACCCCAATGCCGCCAACCCCCGACGAGTCATTCTCACCGCCGAGCCAGAAGCCATGTCGGACGCCGCGCCGAGCCCGTATGCTCCGCGGGGCCCCGCGCCAGATGGGCCGCGCCAGGCTGCTTACCAGTCCAGAGTGGCACCCGATTCACATAGACAACTCTTCGATCATCGTAAGGATGCCGTGTACGCAGCTCAGCCCGGCTCTCCCCAACCACCACCACTCCCTCCAGCTCTTCTAGTGGGGGGTCCACAGCACACGACTGCCCGCTCCTCTAACCCAGCTTCCTTCTTTACGATGCGTGGTCTCGTGCGCGGCCTTCCGGATGCGCATTCGGAGCACTGTGCCGACTTCTTCGGGGAGCTTGAGTCGCGCGCGGAACATCTCGAGCAGCTCATGGAGGCGCATGGGGCTCTGGGAATGCAGAGCGAGCAGGTCACCGTGACGCCCGGCAACAGCAAGCCAGACGCGCTCATTGAGCAGGCTCTCGGGGATCTCCCGTTGCTCAGTAGATCTGCGAGCACGCCAGCGCGCCGTTCTTCATGGTGAACCACCATGCGTTCGCGAACCAGGAGGATGCGCTGGGCGACCCGGCGCGTGCGCTGCTCCAATTCATGATCGCGGCGACGCCGAACCAGACGCTGCCGAACCAGACGCTCGCGGAGGACCTCACGGAGAACCGTGCTGCGCACCTTGAGAAGATGCAGTCAACCTGGGAGCCGCGCTTCGTCAGTGGTCGTGGCACGATCTCCGGGCTTGTGAGCAACGTCCCTGTAAGGCGCCTTACTCGTCGTGCCTCGTATGCGCTGCACCCAGTCTCTATTCAAGAGGTACTGTCTACAGATTGCATACAAAGGCGGTGACGAGGTAAAGCTGAGGGCTCGTAGGTGCGCCGGCGCGCCATACGAGTCCTGGAGCAAACAAGGACAAATATGTAATGTAAAATATACCGTAACGGGAATATCCGTTACACTCTCCCCCACTGGACACGACCACGGGTCCCAGCGATAACCAGAGAAACAGAGAGAAAAAGGAAAGAAAGGAATAGTACATGCAACCACCCAACGGTGGTAGCAATTGGCAAGACAAAGATGATGTTGAACTGTAGACAGTGACAAACTACTTCACGTCAGTGAGCCGACACGACCGTTCACCATTGTCATACACAACTCGACAGAGTTGTGCAACCAGCATGTAGACTACTACTCGGACTCCGAGTAATAGTCTGCATCTTCGGAGTTACCCTCGTCTTCAGCAGGTAGTGCAGAAGAACTGTAGGTATCCTCCATCTCGGACTGCTCGTAGTAGTCAGAGACTACTACTGCGTTTGCCCCCTCAGAACCTGGATTCGAAGAATCCCACGAGCTATGATGCTCAGACTCGGAGAGAGACTCTGACTCAACATGGTCAGAGTAATCCTCACGAGTTGTGGTATGAGGCTCCTCATCAGAGGAGTTGTACCAGTCGGAGTCATCCTGAGGTTGACTGCGAGGTGGTACAACAAGCCATCCCAGCTTGTTGTAGGCCCAATATCGCACCATCTCCATAGGTAATGGTGCAACCAGCAGAGGATCAAACTCGAGAGGAACCACTTCCAATTCCCTCTGGAAGTGGTCCCATGCTCGTCGAGCAGCACGAGAATATGTCCCCAGTCGTGGGGACATCTCCTCGATGGCCTGTCCGCAGCTGAGTGCAGATCTCTTGCAGTGAGCCCAAATGGCCCACTCGCCATCACTCGCCGCGCATTCAGCCTCGTCGAAATCGTGGTCGAGCTGGTCCGCGAGGAGGCTGAAACACAACTCGCGCAACACCTCGTCCGTGGGCCATTGACTCACATCGACGGTTACTGGACGATCCGGTGTGCATGCTTGGTTCAAGACTGGTACTTCACGGCGCGAAGTACCATCTTCCCGAGTAAGGTCGTGGCCGAGACGGTCACCTGTATTCTGTACGTCGAGTCGATCGCTCGACACGCGTGGTACCGGTGGTACCTGTCTCGATGTTCGACGTGAAGCTCGTACGTCGAGCTCAACGCTGGATGTACAGCCCGTGACTGCGTCCGATCCCAGTACACCACTATGTGATGTACTGGCCACTCGTGAGGTGTACTGCACATTGAGTCCCTGGCTCAATGTGCGAGTAGCTGACCTTCGCGTCGAGTCCCCATGGATAACCTGTACGTCAAGCTCACGGCTTGGCGTCCATGTAGCTGCAGGATTCGAGACCAGTACATCTTCACGAGATGTACTGGTGGTGGTGTGACGCAAGCGGTGGCCGCTCGACGCCCCGCTCCCTTCCCCTTTTTGGAGAGTGCCCCCTCTCATGAGGACGGTAGCCCCCTCATGCACCCGCACTGGTTCGGTCTCGGTACCTCCAATAGTAGGTGAACATTGCTGTTCACCTGTGTCCGAAGGTTCTTGCCTTCGTGCCGATGGGGCGTCCAGTTCATCCAGCTGCATCGGAAAACTTCCAACTAGCTCCCGGGAACGCGACCTTGTTTGGGCGCGCGACGACCTCCTCGTCGTGCAAGTCGACGCGGACACTTCACTCGAAGTGCCTGCCGTGCTGCGCACCCGCGAGAACGAAGATTCGTTCTCGCCAGATGTTCTTGCTCCTGACGTAGGATTATCAATCCGCGTCGAATCGTTCGACTGGGCCAGGTCCGGAGGAAGCAGCGACAGATCCATCGTGGATGTGCTTGGCGGCGGTAGCTCCCGGTCTCGTTCGCTGGGCGTGCCAAATACCCCATGGTACTTGGGCTGGTGCTCGCCGTCGAAAGACACAACCAACTCGCGTCGGTCTTGCTGAACGCGACGTGCCGGTAGCACGTAGCGTCCCGACAGTTGCCATTGCTTCTCGGGTGCAGCCCATCGCACGTCTACCGTGGTAGGCGTCTTGGTCGACTGCTCGCAATCTACCGAATGGGGCCCGGCCACTATTCCATCCTGACATTCGTTTACGACGGTGGAATGGTTCATCCCAGTGCGACACGGCGGTGGCACTGCGAACCAAGAAGATGAGTTGGCGAGTACCTCACGGTACTCGCCCTTGGCAGTCGGACGATCATGTCCGTATGCCGTACCCTCTGCGTGCGGATCCAGTGGGTGTGCGAGTACCCTGGGGTACTCGCACTCCTCCTTAGAAGGATGTTCGGCAGCACCTACACTGAGCATAGAGCTCGATGGCGGTGCCGCACCCGTCGTGGCGAGGTGGGGCGAGTCGGTAGTGCGTGTATGCGCTCCGGACGCGCCGCCGTGCGTGGCTGCTGATGCGACTACACTGTCGCTCTGTGATGTAGACGGGCCACTGTCGATTGCGACGACCTTCCGGGTGGTCGCGATCGACGCGGATAGTGGTACCGTAGGTGGTGATGGCGGGGCGATTACCGCAAGGTACTCGCTGTCCTGGTCGCCGCCGAGCTCCTTGGATGAGCTCGCTCGCTCGTCGATCGTACCGCGTTGCGTGACCGTGCCAGTCGCGACCTGTAGGTCGCCCCGTGGGTCGTCTGTACCGCCGACGCACGTGGTGACTGCCACGACAACCGCATTGGTTGTCGTGGTCGTTACGAGTGGTGGTGGCGGTATAGGAGATGGTTGTAGAGGCGAGGGAGATACGTCCAACAGGGGCGTACCTTCATCTTTCGAGCACGTCTGCTCGTCTTCTTCGCGTACACTGCACCCTTCCCCCTCTCCTCCTTCTGCCTGACCGTCCCCATCGGAATCTCCTGCTTCCACTCCCTCGTCCACTTCTTCTCCGTCCCTGTCCTGCCCATCCTTCCACCCTTCGTGCGAGCTTCCGGGTGCGCGATCGTCCTGGGGCTCGTCGCACTCGTCGTAGTCTCCAGCAGTGTTGGGAGGCGCGGAGATGTCGACAGGATGTTGGCGAGGGGTCCCTAGGAGCGAACCATCGGCGAGAACTGTAAAGTTCTCGCCGGGTTGACGGTCGAGCAACCGTTCTGGTCGATCGGGATCCGTAAGCGCTGGCCGCTGCACTGTTGGTAGTGCAGTAGTCGGGTCGCGATCTCGAGCTCGCGCGTTGCTCGGGAATACGCGATCGTCGGGCAGCGCGCTCATCGGGGCACCAAGATCGCGGAGAGAGCGGTGGATGCTGTTGCTGGAGAGGTCGAGGTCGAAGTCGAGGCCGAGGTCCGCCGCTTCGTCGAGTCGGTCGGGGTTGTATCGTGGACCTGTCAGCTGAACCGCGAGATGTTCAGCTGTCTTGGAACTACCGGGGGCTTGTACTTCCGGTTGGGAGTGCAAGTCTTCTCGGAGGTCGGCTGCGCGCGATTGAGGGCTGCTGGAGATGTCGTCGAGGTCGTCCCACGACCTGGCCAGCTGAACCTCAGGAGGTTCAGCTACATCGGAGCAGCTGGGGGCCTGCACTTCCGTGAGGACGTGCAGGCCGTGTGGCGTCGCAGTTGGTCGAGCGATGGGCCTGCCAGACGACGGGTCAGGGACGGTCGACGCGCAGTGGTCATAGCCACCGGGTACGTCTAGCAGTAGGCTAGGCGTACGCGCTGCACAATGGACGGTCGAAGCTGAGTAGAGCACTTCGGACATGCATCGCTGCAGGTCCGTCGTGCTGCCTCGCGAATTAGGAGGTACAACCGCAAGGTCGTCTCCTACCGCATGCGCTCTGCCTTGCAGAATGGGAGGCACGACCGTTGGGTCGTCCCGTAGCGCAGACGCACCGTCTTCATGACCAACAACGCGTACGAAGAACTGAACGTTGGTCGCTACGCTTGTTGGTGCGGATGCGGGCAAGGTAGGAGGTGTCGAGGTGGGTACGTCCATCAGGGGCGTACCTTCAGTTCTCGACCCTTTATGCTGGTCGGTAGCGTGTACGTCGAGCATCAATCTCGGCGTACTCGCTATCCATCGGTCGGTGATGGATGAATGGGACACGTCGGACGTGCACTGCTGCGCGTCCGCCGTGTCGCTTTGCGAGATGGACGGTACGACCACGAGGTCGTCCCGTATCCTGGGCGTACTGCCTCGGAGATTGGAGGGTACGACCGCGAGGTCGTCCCGTAGCACAGACGTGCTATCCCGCGAAACATCCGGTACGACTTCGCAGTCGTACCTGGAGGCGGAAGTGCCGTCTTCGTGGTCAATAGGACGCACGACGAACCTCTCGTCCGTCGTTACGCGTGCTGGCGCGGGCACTGGAAGCGGAGGCGGCGATGCAGGGACGTACGGTGAGTACGTGCCTGTGGTTGTCGAGCCTTCGTGCTCGTGCATCCTGCTCGCCCCGCACCCTTCCTCCCTCTGTCCCTGTGTTCCTTCCTCAACCTCGCTACTCCTCTGCCCCCTGTCCTCCTTCCACTCTCCTTGCTCCGCGTTGTCCATGGTCCGCTCAGTCTTGCGGCTCGGCGTTGGACTTGAACGCGCGTCGTTCAAGTCCTGGGTCATGCGGCTGGGTTGCGTGTCGCCAGAGCCGCTGTGACGGTCGCCAGAGTCATCGGACTCGAAGAGGGGACCTCCCAAGTCGAGGCGCGGGACCAGAAGGGAGAGTTGAGGAGCCGGTGAGTGAGGAATTGGTGATCTGGTACCGGGAGGTACCAGGTCGTCGGTCGCCCCTGACTGGACTGGCGGTAAGTCAGCCAGCCATTCGCGAACGCGAGTTCGCACTCGCGTCGGGGCGGCGCGCGCGTCTGGTTCGCCAGACGGGCGCTCGAGGTGGCTGCCCAGAGAGTGGGAGGAGGCGAGGACGAGGGGTCGGTGGTGGCGGTCGAGCGTAGTGCGGTGGGCGCTAGAACTCGGGGCGCTCACCACAGACTCGTGGCGCTCGACGCCTGTAGCGTTGAGCGCGTCGCGCGTCGCGTCGAGCAGGCTGCTCGTCGTGGCGCGCACGGCGTTCGACAACGAATATATATATTTTGTGTCGCGGCTCATCTCTGAACACGCGACGAGCGTATCTACACGCGTGGGCTCGTTCCCACTGCACACAGTACTACTGTAGTACTGTGTGCCTATGCCCTCCCGGGTGCTGATACGAGTCAGCTCCTGGCGCTGCTCGTTCAATCCAGGCACGAGCTCGACTACGGCTACGTTGTCGAGCTCGGCGCGCTCACCACTCCTCAGAGTGGTGCCGAGCTTCATCGGCTGGGTCGAAGCAGGTGGAGAGTCGGTCTCCGGGCGGTTTTGAGCGGGCTCGACATTGGGCTCGAGCCGCTCAGTGCGCGGTGCCTGTTCGACCTCACGGTCGGACGGCGCCTGCTCTGTGAGGGCTCCGGCTGAGTCCTCGCGGTGAGAAGACTCAGTCCGGGTGGTCTTCGTGCGAGAAGACCGACTGCGGCTGCTGGCCTCGGACAGAGCGGCGTCGACCGTTGCCAGCAGTTCGGCCTCGAGTTGCTTGGATTCCTCGAGGGCTTTGTTGATCCGCTCTTGACTTGCGGCGAGCTTTGCTCGGACTTCCGCACGCAACGCCTTCAGCTTGCTGCGGGTTCCACTGTGGGACCCGCGGGTGCCTCGCGAAGGTGCGGACGGGGTGTTGGTCGACTCGGACATCTTGTCGAGTTGTCGAGTTGGCCAGAGGATGATCAAAGTAGCATAGAGTTTGTTGATGTCGAATTTCGAGGTTCGAGAGTTTGTTGCCTAGAGTAGATAGTCCCAGAGAGATAGAAGCTTTTCTGGAGCGCAAAAAAGTGTAAGGCGCCTTACTCGTCGTGCCTCGTATGCGCTGCACCCAGTCTCTATTCAAGAGGTACTGTCTACAGATTGCATACAAAGGCGGTGACGAGGTAAAGCTGAGGGCTCGTAGGTGCGCCGGCGCGCCATACGAGTCCTGGAGCAAACAAGGACAAATATGTAATGTAAAATATACCGTAACGGGAATATCCGTTACAGTCCCGGACGCCGCCAACCCCGCCAAGGCGAAGGCTGCGTTCATCCAAGTGCCCAACGGCGACTCGATGTCCCTCGAGCTCGTTTGGAAGCTGGGTTTCCGTGGCGTGGCACGGTCCAATTCCTGGCGACCGGCCACCGTTCGAGGTCGAGATGCAGGGCAACTGTTACGAGGCCGCCGCGAGCGCCTGCCAGCCGCATCGCCTTATTTCCGCCGTCGGCTGGGCATCAGACTCGCCGATGTCGGTTGCTCCCATCCCGCGCAGGCGAGTTGCTGGTATTCAACTTCACGTACGTCCCGAAGAAGACGGAGAGGGAGGATGCGCTTGATGAGGCGCAGAAGTACGCCAACGCAGCAGGCACCCAGTTGTTCTACACCAGCAACCTCGTGCATGATCTGTACTAACGGTATGGCTTCGACGAGGTCTCGGGTAACTTCCAGCAGCGCAACTTCGGTGACTCGGTCGCGGTTGCTAGGAGAACGATGGCGTCATTGCCAAAGCTCAGGACGGCAGCGGGTACAAGAACGGTGAGTCAATAGGTAGCTTAGTGGAGAACTTAGAACTCATCCTTGTTGCAGCCAACTTCATGGCCCATCCTGGTGGTCAGAACGGTCGTTGCAGGATGTACCTCTGGAACACTGCGAACCCGCACCACGGCGGTGATCTTGAGGCTGGCATTGCGATCCACGAGCTCTCGCGCGGTCTCAGCACGCGTCTGGCGGGTGGTCCTGCCACCTCCGGCTGCCTTGGCTGGGGTGAATCCGGCGGCATGGGTGAGGGCTGGGGAGACTTCCTCGCCACCACCAATGCGCTTGAGTGCATTTTGCACCGCGCGCGTGCGAGGAGTGGGAGGTGCGAATGCACGGACTCGAGGACGGGTTCGCCGAGTCTGCAGAGCCTGCCAGCAGAGGCGATCACGAAAGAAATGGACGAGTGCGCCGCGTTGGGCGTACGCGGTCGCGTTCGATGTCTTCCGCCATAATTAGCTAAGTACTCGGGTCGTCGGCGTGAACGGTGGTCGCCAATAGTGTGCATGCGAGCATACAGTGCGCCGTTCACTTCCGCGTGCAACCACGTCCACCGAGTCGCCGCGGCGCGGCGCGGCGCCCACGAGGGATGAGCGTGCCGCACCACCCTCCCCGACCATATATCCCTGCACGCGAGGGACGAGCGTGCCCGCCCGCCACGTCCATATCTGGACGTGACCATATCCGGCCATATTCAGCGCCTCCGACCCGTCGCGCACGCGACCCACACCGCCACCACCGCATTCCCCGCTGTCCAGTCCGCCGGCGGTCGTACAGGTCGCCCGTCACCCAAGCCGCCGGCATCCGCTGTTGTCCACGGTGCTACCGTTCCGCAGCGCCGCTTGGAGGGCGCTGCGGGCCAGAGGATGAGTGTCCCCGCTGTCCATGAGTCCCCTCCGAGTCTGTGGCCACCCGTCGCCGCTGCCCCCCACAAGCCCCGCGTAGACACACCAAAACGCTGTTAAAAAGGCGTCGCTCAGGCCTGCCACGGCTTAGTTGCGTCCGCAGCGGGCAGGCGTGGCTTGAGCAGGGTGTGGAAGCTTGGTTCAGTCACAGAACCTCTCGCGCGAGTCCCTCGAAACCTCTCAGGCGAGTCCTTCGAGTTCAGCAATGGCGAGCACAAGCTACCGGGTGTCAATCATGCCATCGGCGGTCTCGGCAACCAGACACAACCCCATCGCGAAGAGCGTCGATGGGCTCGAATGCATGGACTCCAGGGCATCAGGAAATCCCCCCCATTCAATTTGGGCTAATTCACGTGAATTTCCCCGAAATTTGGTTAGGACCCATTTAGCTGACCTCTACGAAATTTGCTCGAATTCTGGCAAATCTCGCACGAATTTACCCCACCCAAATGAGACCTCTGTACCCTCTTGATTCACATGAATTCGCATCTTTTTGAACATGAATTTGCTTTTTTGGAACATGAATTCCCATTTTTTCGGAACACAAATACCCCTAGATGAGCCATTGCACTACATGGACCAGGTATAGAAGCATCATGGATCACCAACTCGTAGTAACTACTCGTCGTGGCTGTCCAATGACACAAAGGTTTCAGTCATGTAGAGAACCCAAGAACAAAAAAAACTATAACATCGCGTCGTCGATGTCGTTGCCCGCAGTCTCGTTGTTGACGAACTTGCTTGTGCCAGGTTGATTGACTCCGATTTCCCTTTGAGATGATATGTCCTGCACATCCTTTAGTTCGTGCAATGTACCAATCTCAGAACACGACTCACTTTGCTGCCTTGTACATATATGCCAATAGCTTGTGTCGCCCACTCACATTGATCCCCGTGAGAGTGGCCACATGACCAGTGTAATGGGCTTCGTGCATCGTCGCATTGAATCCCTGCCCAGTCCTCAGAGGGCGGCGAACTCCATCGAGCCCCTCTCGAATAGCAGCACCAGCCTTCAAGACGATAGTCAGTACTTTGATAGTTGATCAGAAGACGTAGGGATGTAGACCATTGTGGCCATGAAGGAAGCCATGACTATAGGTATTTCGAGTTGAGTGCCTCGACACCAGTCTTGATCGACGACACGAAGAAGCCGTCGTCGAGTGGGAAGAAGGCATTCGTCCCGAAGAAAAGAGTGTTGATCATCTTGATGATAGGCTGGGCACAGAAGGGTAAGTTCGGCTGGAAGTCGCCGTATTTGCCCTTCTAGGAGAGATGTGAGCAGTTCCGAGAGCATGTAGATAGACAGCATACTCACCTTCATGTTGAGGGTCCCTGGGCTTATATAGCGGTTGTCGACAGTAAGGAGGCGGGTGGCCTTCTTGATCGCCGATGGGTCATCCTCGAGGTCCTTGAGACCATATGCTTCCCACGCGATGTCACGAGCAGCCTTGTACAGTGGACCCCGCACACTCGACATCCTGTCAATCGGCTGAACCAATCCATGAGCAGGCAACGAGATTGCAGAAGGGTAGTTAACCTCACGATCTTCGTCATATCAGTGCTGTACTTCGTGTCACTGAGAAGCCGCTCGGTTATGTCTGTGTAGTTTAGTCGCACAGATGCATCGACAAGCATGTCGAGAAACATAGGTGGACGCGCGTATTTGTTTGGGAAGGCGTTCACTCGAAGGAGCGCACGTGGTAACTCGTGCGCAATCGTCTCCGAAAGGAGTGACTTAACCTTTCCAGATCGCTGGGACATGATACCCGCGGCCGTCTTACCATCCTCGTTGTATGAGAGGGCCGTGACCACCGCCCACTTGACAGGTGGCTTCGTGGGAGCCTTGCGAACACTGGCATCATCACCGGAAGATGCACTGTCGTCGTCCGAGTCCTGAGCCAACGGCGCCTCCACCCGATCCGGCACACCTGCCTATAATATTTGGCAGTTAGCGGTGATCAAGGCACGTCGGTATTGTCGTCATACCGTTTTGGAAGGCTTTCCACGCGGTGCCTTCGGCTGAAGTGTTGCCACAAGCTCGATTGACTCGTCGTCTTCACTCGCCGTCCCAAAGTACTGTACAGTGGAAACGAGATTAGACTTAACAGGCAAGCACTGGGAAACCGCGAGTGCATGCTCCCCATGCATTTCATTGACGAGATTATGCGCACCTCTGGGGATGCTCGCTGCACCATGTGAGAGCGACGCAGGCCGTGATATCCATGAACATGTGAGGTACATCATTGGTAAGCCTCACACTTACCCGTTTGTGCTGTGACGATGAAGATGTACATGTCAGCGGCAATCGCAACAGCGCCGGCGTGGACTACACACCACTTTCCTGGCAGGCGTCGACACAGATCTTGGCGCCTTGAGCGCTGCACCCAATTCCTTGCCTGGCTGCGACTTAAGCTGCATGATTGCACAGGGGTTGAGTCGTGAGTGACGTTTGAAAGGTATAAGGCTCATGAAACAATACCGTCGTGGCCGTATCATTGGCAATGGGTGCAGCCTTGACCTTGCCCTTAGCACCGCGGCGCGACTTGCGACCTGTGACAACAAAGCGCTCATCAACGAAGTACTCCATGTCCTCCGCAGTGAGCGCAGGAGCCGGGGTGTCCTCATCGAAGCATGTGAGTGGATGCACATTTTCTATGAAATGCGAGGACTTACATGGTCCGGAACATCATCTCGGATGCCTTCTTGCTCATTGGGCTTCGGCTTCGGCTTGGTTCTGTTGGCTTCCACGAGGTCGCCAGCCGGGCTAGGCGTCGTAGTGGATCGGCCGCTGGTATCATTCTGTGCATTCAACCTCGGTATCAGCACAAGGCACTAGCTGAGGTGAGCACCATGTACGTCACCTTGGAGTTATCATGGCTGTTTTGAGGTCCCTTGTCGTGGGTCTCCGCCTGGCCCACCGTGACAGTGACTGCTTTGCCAGTGGCACGACGCTTGGCACGATTGACAATCATTGCCTGCATCGGATGAGTTAGTGAGGCTGGTTAAGTGGTGGAAACAACGGTCAAGACGTACTTGCCATGCAGGATCGGGGACGCGCTCATCACTGGCCTCGGCGCTTTCAACTGGGTCCGAGTCACCGCTTTCATGGTCTTGAGAGCATGCAGAGCTGTCGTCGTCGTCGAGGAAGTCGGCCTTGTACTCGGAGTCGGTGCCAGTGGAGGCATCGTGGTCCGTCAGATCATTGCGCGACTTGTGGTCGCGGCGGGTCTCAGCTTTCGAGACAAGAGTTGCGGTCTGGGAAGATTGTGCAGTGAGTGCGCGTGGGAAACATGGCGCTCGAGGAACGCCACTATTGTACTCACGCCTTGTTTGAGTTGCTGGGCGATCTTCTCTGCCTTCCGTTGAGAAATGGCAGGTTCGTACTCAACGCCGAAGTCTTCATCTTGCTCACGGCCAGCATCTGACTGGATCAGATCATCTTCGGAGTCTTGCTCCTGCTCGGATGCGCTGACACTTCCTGCAGGTTTCTCTGGACGAGTCAAAGTCATCGTATGACCATCACATCGGGATGGACAGGGCGTACTCTCAGCTGCATTGGTATGTGCCATCTCGACATCCTGGTCTGTGTCACCGACTTCTTGGCCTGCAGAGCAGGACTGCATTGAACGACCACTTGCCGTGAACAGATTCAGTTACGTACCTTCAGCTTGGATTGTATCCAGTGCCTTGCTGATACTATCCGAGTCGGTGGCGGGCTTGTGGGGCGGCGACGCTGCAAAAGCTAGGCATAAAAGGAGGCCAAAGGGATATGGGAGGTAAGTCCCTACATTCCGTGCTCATCACACGCCCTCGCTTGACGGTACTCGCTGTAGGGGAGGGACCGACTTCAGAGGCTTTGCGCTCACGCTTCTTACCGCTGGGCAGCCAAACTGTACGAACGTCGAATATCAGCATGACATGTGGAGAAAGTGGACAAGGCATGTCTTTGATACCTCTGTCTTTGTACGCCTGCGCTTTGGCTGAGCGCGGTTGGGTGACTGGGGTGCCAGTGCGCGTTGCGACGGTCAATATATGTACTTACAACAAGCTATGAAAGATGCTCAGACTCACTCGTAGGATTGGCTATCTCATTCTCGCGGGCGGCTTCAAATGCGGTCTGTTCAGCTCGCTTTTGGTTCTTGATCTCCTTTGCGAGCTCTTGCAGGTCAGGATCGACTTCTTGGGATGACCGAGACACACGGGACTTGGACTTGACACCAGTGTCTAGTCCTTCAAGTTCACGCAATATTCGGTAAGCACTCACATTCAGCTCGCGTGTTGTACCGTGTTCACACTTACCTGCGTTGCCACCTTCGGTTTCTGCAGGGTCTTCAATCTGGTCCGCCTTTGTCTTCCTGCCGCGTCGTTTCTTGCTGGTGGGCGCTGGTGGCATGACTGGTGAGCTGCGGCAACTGAGGGGCAGGACAACAGGGTTCCACCACACGGGCTCGGAGGGAGGTCGTGGGCGCGAGGAGAGAGGCAAGGGCTTGGAGGTGCCAGCGGGCCCGGGGGAATCTCCAGGCACAAATTTGGCCGTTGATTTAGGGTGCCGTGGCGGGCCATGCCACTGCGGGTTATCAAGCCCTGCCCCGGGTCTGCATTTCTGCCTGTGCTCTGCGGCCCGAGCCCTGCCTCTGGGCAAGAGTTAGCGGCCTGCGATGGACCGTTGGGCATTGCGGCATGTGGGCGGCGGCTGCGTGTGTTGCTTAACTCGGACCCTGGTGCAAGGGTATTAGTACGGTCACTGAGTCGACATCGCTCACACACTTAAGGTGTTTGTTACCTTACAGTACACGCCCGCCATGCCGACGCAGCACGCAGGCGGGCGTTCTGCCAAACAAGGATGGCGAAATCGAGCTCTGGCGAGCTTGTGTTCACCGAACCAGGCCTCAATCATCATGCACACATCCCGCTACATGTTCAATATGGTCCTCCTCCTCCTTCTGCCGGCGATTACCAGCCTTTTGCTCTTGCACCTTTCAACATTGCCAGGCGTCGCGAGCCGCCCCGACTCCCCTGCAGGGCCGCGAACCCGAGAACAGTACAGCAGTGCTTTCCAGCGACACGGAGGACGACCCGAAGATGGATCGACTGGATTTTTTGCAGGGCAATCAGAAGTCGAATGGGTGGCATTACAATGGGTCTCGGTGTATGCCTACCTTGTTCTCTGGGCGGTAGCATCTGGTGAGTTCAAGTGCAGTGTCCACTTGTGTGATAACCAGTTACGAGTTCCACTGACATCCGACCCTCAACAGCCAGTCTCTGTCAAGCTGATTGGCTCCCTATCACGAGGCTTCTCATAACTTGCATGGTCAGGACACGCCATCGTCGAGGTCACTTCACCCATGTTCGGCTGGACCATCGAAGGCGAATAACTGCGGAGTCGACATACACAATATTTGTGCGCCCGTGCGCTGGGCGAAGTATACCAATCGGTCAGTTTTCGATTAATGATTGCTCATTGAATTTCACTCAACATCTGCTTATGTCCGCCCAGTCGTATCTGACAGTACCACAATCGCAGATATCAGGCGACTGCTTGTCGCCAAAGGCGTCCCTTCATCGCTTGCCCGGTCAATTGGTCTGGCAGTGTCGAATAAGCCGTTTCACGTCTTGAAGGACACCCAACGCATCAGTGACATTGGAGCTGGCCCTCTCGCCCATCTCTGCATGAATGTGGGCCTCCCAGGTGTGCTTTCACTCCCTCGTACTTACTAGACCAATGTCTGACCCTGCGAATTCGGAATGTGATTTCACAGGTGGTACGCACCGTGCCAGCCCGCTCGAAAGCGCCTCGCATCGGTGCATTGGCTGCGGCGCCTCGGGATTCGATATTGACGCACTATCACGTCATGTCGTACGCTCAGGTGATCCTCGATGCCAGGCCAGCGTCACACAAGCAATGGAAGCAGCACGCCTGCATGCGCGCGCTCGACTCGCGCTCGCTCGTGGGTCGCCCGAACCTGCCGCAGGACCTTCTAATCATCTCATTGGACGACTTGACCAGCCTGGGAGTGCACCAGATCGATTAGAACCAGGGCTTACGGCGGCACATGCGAACCAGCCAGTGGACGAAGGTGAGCATTGTACTTAATAGCGGGCATGTCGCGCAGTAACCAACCGGGTTTCTGCACCAGAGCTCGACGGTCCCCTTGAGTACCTAGACCCAGACGACAACATTCAAGTTGACCTCGATGGGCAAGATGCGCTGAGCGAGCCCCTACTAGACGATGCAGTCGACAAGTTACCTTTCACGTCAGACTCGTCATCCGATGACGAAGATGAGCGGGACTACGAGGACGCACCGCCAAGGCCCTTGAACCGCAGCCCATCCCCTCAGGCAAGGGCATTGAGATCACCCTCTGCAGGATCCGATCGACCACTCGGTCCTGATGATCACGACCACGAGAATAATCAAGGCCGCCCTGACGGAACCCAGGACGATATGGACGTTGATCGCGACGTGCCAGGCATTCAGCCAAGCGATGAGGAGTACTTATTTCACGATCCGTTTGTAGTCCCATTCGCCAGGGCAGCAGTCGGCGAGGCCAATGCGGCTGCGTCCGAGAATCCCTTTGCTCTCTACGAAGCGGCCTTAGAAGACACACCGGACACGAATGTCTTCGCCCCCTTCGCCTCGCGGATGGAATGGCGCATCGCACAATGGGCCAAGACGCGAGGTCCGTCGGCAAGTGCGTTCAATGAATTGCTGGCAATTGACGGGGTACGACAGCTCGCTCTTCCATGTACCTCCGTGGCTCACACAACCCTGAACTCGGCCGATTACCCAGGTTCTTGATGGCCTGGATATCTCATTCAAGAACACCAAGGAACTCAACAAGATCATTGATTCGTTGCTCCCTCCTCGCCCGAGTTTTGTTCGTCACGTCCTCGAGGTGGATGGGGAGAAGTATGACTTTTGGCTCCGCGATGCTATGGAGTGCATACGCGTGCTCTTCGGATCCTCCGATTGGGCCACCAGCATCATCCTGGCGCCCGAGAAACATTACGTTGATCCCACGAAGACGACGCGAGTTTATGGCGACATGCACACTGGCGATTGGTGGTGGCGCCTGCAGGTATGCTTGCGTTCCCTGGTTGCTCGCAAAACACAAGTCTTAACTCAATTATCGCAGCGCAAACTCGAAAAGAAGCAAGCCGGTGCGACGATCATACCCCTCATCATTTCGTCAGATAAGACCCAGTTGACGCAGTTTCGCAACCGATCATGTTACCCACTCTATCTCACCATAGGCAATATCCCCAAGGAGATTCGTCGGAAATCGAGCAGACAGGCCCAACTGCTCATAGGGTATCTTCCAGTTACTCGACTCTCACACATCAAGAGTGACGAAACCCGCCGTCGGGCGTCCAGCAACCTTTTCCATGCATGCCTTCGCATGGCCCTCGCGCCGACTCGGAAGGCCGGTCGACACGGCACTGTGATGACCACTGGCCGTGGTATCGCCAAACGCTGCCACCCCATCTTCGCCGCCTATGTCGGCGACTATCCGGAGATCGTCCTCGTCACGGGTGTGAAGAACGGTGAATGCCCCGCAGGCGTCGTGGACCCTGACTCCTTGGGCGAGCCTGTGCCTTGTACCCAGCGAGACCTTAATGCAATCTTGGACGCCCTTGTCACTCTCGAGCGGACGGGTTCAGCAGTCGCCCATGTCAACGCTTGCCAGGCAGCAGGCATCAAACCCCTCACGGACCCATTTTGGCAAGATCTCCCCTACGTCAACATCTACGCGTCTTTGCCCCCCGATATCCTGCATCAGCTCTACCAAGGGATGGTCAAACATGTTGTCGCATGGACCAAGGCCGCATATGGTGCTCGTGTCATCGACGAACGTTTCCAAGCCCTCCCTCCCAATCATAACCTCCGCCATTTTTCCAAGGGCATCTCCCACTTGTCGCGCGTCTCTGGCACCGAACACGAAGACATCTGCCGTGTTCTACTCGGGACCATTGTCGACCTCCGCTTACCTGGCGGCCACAACCCCACTCGCCTCATCCGCGCTGTGCGTGCTCTCCTGGACTTTGTTTATCTCGCACAGCTGCCCGCGCACACCTCGACGACCCTTGGACAGCTGGACGACGCTCTTGCTCGATTTCATGCGAACAAAGCGGTCTTTGAAGACCTCGGCATTCGCAGCCACTTCAACTTCCCGAAGCTCCATTCGCTCCAACACTACGCCGCTGGGATTAAGCTCTTTGGGACTGCCGACGGTACAAACACGTCGGCATCCGAACATCTCCACATCTCACTGGCGAAGGATCCGTGGCGCAAGTCCAACCGCAAGGATGAGTACCCGCAGATGACCTCCACCGTAATTCGCCTTGAACAAATTCACGCTCACATGCTTTACATCCAATGGCGCCTCGACGGCCGCCCACGCATCGCATCCGCCCCCTCTCAAATCCCCCATAAGCTCCACCACCATCTCACGCGCCACCCGACTTGCAAGTCTGTGCCCTTTTCGGCGGTCGAATCACGTTACGGTGCCTTCAACTTCGAGCACGCCCTCAAGGATTTCATTGTGCGTCACAAGCACCCCGAGTTGACCGGCCGCGAGCTCGCCGAACATCTCTCCGTGTACGACCTTCCTTTCCGCGCCGTGTCCATCTGGCACAAGGTCAAGTTCTGGAACCAGGATTTTTTCAGGCGCAGGAATGCACCTGAGACCCTCGATGTGATCCATGCCCGACCAAACTATCGAGACACCCAAGCCCGACTCGTCCCAGGAAGATTCGACACCGCGCTCGTCAACGAGAGAGATGGTGGGCACGTAGGGGTGGATGGTACGCAAACCTCTCCTCAGTAAACATTCTCAGAAACTTACGAGCGAATAGGCTATCGTGTGGGCCAAGTTCGCGCCATATTCTCACTGACCAAAAAGGCCCACGAGAATGTCTTCCATGGCGATCCCACCGTGCCGTCGCATTTTGTATACCTTGAATGGTTCACCCGATTCAAGCCCCGTCCAGAGGCCAACCACCTGTTCTACAGCATCAAACGCCACAGAACGCAAGAAGGGGACCGCGTCGCAGCCATCGTCCCCTTGGAGGACCTCCAACGGAGCATTCATCTGGTACCGAAGTTCGGCCCTGTCAAGCCACCCGAGTGGACGAGTGACAACGTCCTCGATCTGTGTGACAACTTCTACGTGAACTCATTCACTGATAGGAATACGTACATCACTGTAGTGTAGTCGAATACACTCCGTCCCTTGCGATGTCCATAAGTGCCGGCCTCGCGGGCCTGAATAACAAGTCGTTGCGCTCGTCCCATTTGGAATAAAAGGGTCAGACACAAACTGCTTGAATGCTTCCACCCAAAATCCATTAGACACAACAAAAAATCGTACTTCGGACTCATTCTTGAAGCTCCAGAGGCTCCCTGGCCCGGGCGCACGCGTCGGCGCTTACTTCGACTTGTGGGCAGAACGCGCCTTGGTGCGGCACCACCACCATCCCACTATCTCATCTCGCTGCTACACCAACATATTCCCTCTTCGCTCGGCTTTGATCTGCCCAAATTCATGCTCATATACTGCCCTCACGTCGCCACCTCACCAACGACACGGATCAGCCCTCGGTGTCCCTAGCCAAGACGTGCACTGCCCGAGGACTTGTGCCGCACGAATGGCGATGCACTTCAAGCCGCGCGACATCATGCGAGTGGAAATCGCAGATAGCCAAGGGCGAGACTGGAAGTCGCCATCAGAAGGGCGAGAGGGCATCGAGCTCAGCTCGCTCGCAGAACCTCGAGAGAAGGATTTTGGTGCGTGGTTTGGTTGTATCCTGCTAATCCATACTGAGCATCCACTCAGACTTCGGTTCGCATGGACGAGCCCCTCCTCAGCCATCTCCACTGCCCCGTGTGTCCTCGACGACGATTACTTAGTCGATAGCCATGCCGGTGTCCTCGTCCCGGCGACCCAACCTCCTCTGGCCTGGTGCGAGACGCATGCTTCGGCTATGCCGGGTGACCGCGTTTGCAGCTCGCCAAGGGAGGCTGTGTCCTGCCACGAGGACACTGGCACTGCTATCTCCGCCACCCACACAGGACAGTCGTTTGCGGCCGAGAAGACGATGTGGGAGGCGAAACCAGGCACGGTAAGTAGGTAACACTCGAGTTCTGAAAGCTCGCGCCCATCACCTAGTATGCTGGCCACGCCATATACCCCCATTCTCTGACCTCGCCTACGTCGCCCGCTCGCAAGTGCCCACGGATAATTGGCCCCTGCAGACTCGCGTTGATGTACGCGTTGGGGATCGGCCCGGGTGACGCATCCGCGGTCTGCAGGCCAGTCTCTTCGCACGTCGTGAGCGGGCGGCCCCAGTTCAGTCTATCCCCGATGTTCTTTTTCATCCTCGTTAAATATATAACACTCATTTCGTTGAACTTTATAGTTCATATCTCCATATCCTCGCCTCGTGAGATGCGCAGACGCGGGGTCATCTATCCCGCTCATCCTGTCGCCCTCGCCGACCTGTCGCCCGCCTCCCGTCTTGCCCCTCCACGTACCGATTCCGTAGCCGCCGCGAGCGCAGGACGAGCCGCCTCAGCACGAGCGCCCAAAACGCGGCTAGGCTCCCTCTGGGCCGCCTCGACCGCCTCTCCCACACCTCCGGGTCAACACCCGCGATGCTGCCGGCGGCCAGCGTACTGCACACGGTAGTCATCCGCGGTTCGACCTTTTTGCACGCCGACAAGACCTTCAATCCACTGCCCAACCCACTGCGCAGCTCCGTACATCCCACATCGCGTCCTCCTTGCCTCGCGTCACGCCCCAGCTCGCATCGCCACTGTGCCGCTTCGCGCTCGGGCTCGTGCCCCTCGATCAGCCGCATGAGCAGATCGACGTTGGCAGTCGCCCACCTGCCGTAGTCGCCGTGCCGCATCTCCGTGCGCACGTGGTGGAGCCCCCCGTGGTGCAGCAGGACGACCGCCAAGTGGTGCTCCTCCGAGAGCGTTGCCAGCCGCGCGAGGTACTGCGTGCTCGCGGACGCGATCGCCAGCACGTTCGACCGTCCGGGCATCGATGAGGCCAGCTTCGTCCACCTCGTGGCGTGCTTCAGCCCTCTCAACGGCAGAAGCACGGCGCCGAGCCCTGCCACTGCTCTCCGGAATGGCAGGATATTATCGGCCCGAGCAACTACATGAGTGCTGATTCCGTGCAGGTGTATGTATGCTGCCGCTCTGTTGCGCATCGCTCTGCTCACGCCCATGGCCCCGCCGCCCTTCCCGCCGATCGTCTTCCTGCACCCCAGTGCTGTCCAGAAACTCAGCATACGGGGGTACCAGAAGTGGCTGCACGGCGAGATACCCTCGCCACCCACCCGAACGTCCCAACAAGCATCAGCACGGCAGCGGGACTCGGCGTTCCCTCCACAAGCTGATCGTCGCTCTCCCCACCAAGTCTTGGCTCGTCCGCTTCGACAGCGATATCCACAGCCCCATCCATCGTGCCGTCCAGGTCGATGTCGCTATCGACCACGAGCGCCACCTCCTCCCCCGAGGCACGGCGTGCAATGGAGAAGGGCAAGGCCCGCGAGCCCGACGCGTCCGAGATGCTCGCCGAATATCGGTTTCCGCGGACACCGTCCTCGCTGAGCAGCCGGACGCCAGACTCGTCGAGGGTCGCCAGTGCGCACTCGAGCAGGCATGACTCGCCCGAGCTGTCGAGCAACGCTGCACGGAACGCGCGATTGACGAAGCCCAAGATCCCCACGGAGGACAAGGACCGCGAGAAGCACAAGGACCGCGAGAAGCACAAGGACCGCGAGAAGCACAAGGACGACCGGATCGCGGGCCTCATCAGGGAACGCACGCAGGAACAACATGTCCGCACACGCCCGGCCGGACGCGCGCGTCGTGCAGCACCACGCGCAGGCGGCGGAGGATACGCACGCGCTGAGCTTCGCGGAGCTGTACGAGCCTGGGTTCGCGTGGACGATGACGAACATCGATATTTTCCATACCTGCGCTGGGTTCGCGGAGACGGGGTGTGGCGCCAAGCCTGCCGGAACAAGATAGCGACCTCAGGAAGGAGGAGGAGGAGCAGCCGATGGAGGTCAAGGAGGCTCTCGCGGCTGCGAAAGTGGTTGAAGCTGCAACTGAAGTCGAGGGCGCCCGAGGCCGAGGAGCGCGGGCGCACATCACCCAAGTGCAGCGGGTGGACGAGCCGAAGGAGAAGGAGCACCGGGTGCGCGACAAGGACCGGGCGTCTCCAGGACACAAAGAGCGCAAGTCGGTGTGTGTTTCGAGCTTGGTTTGTAGGAGTATGCTGGGTTTGCTGATCCCGTGCGATGGAGCAGAGACACTCTCCCAAGTTCGCGGTGCACAAGGCAAAGAGCATCATGTCGGACGCGCGAGGAGGCGATCCTCACTGGCTCATGTTCACATCTGTTTCGATGAAAGTAGTAGTTTGATTACATTACATGATCCTCCTGAGACAGGAAACTGATGTAGTGCTAGTTACATGGCCTGGTGCGAGTCAGTGTCAGCTATGGCTTGCAGCATTAAGTGTGTAAAGCCAGGTACTAGTAAGTCGCTCAGTGATTTTAGTAAATTTGCGCCGCCAGCCTTTTCAGAAGGCGTTTACGAGCTGTTTGCACCGATTTGGAAGCCGTTTACACGGGAGGTCGCGCCGGACCGATTTGGCGCCGATTCGCGCCACATTCGCGCAGGGGGGTTTCCTGATGGGACGGGTTCGCCGAGTCGCGGGACACGCCGACGCGTGCTTCAAGGGACCCCGACTAGCACAAGGACGGTACATAGCGAGGAGTAGGGCGAGGAGTAGGGAGATCTGCAGAGAGGAGAGGAGAGTCTACACGACTCCGGTGAGCATTACGGACCATCACCCACCACCCCCCTCACCCTGGCCTCCGAGTTACGCGCGCCCCGAACTTGACGCGCCCTGTTCTCGTTCAGCGCGCCCACCGCCTCGCCACCCATCCGCTCGCTTGGCCATCAGCCCGCTCAGCATGCGCACCGGGCGCAGGAGCCGCGTTCAACGCGCCTGCGCCCCTCTAATTTCAAGTCATGCCCACTCGCCAAGTCTCCGTCCGCACCCCGATCGTCTTTGCTCGCAGTAGGCGGCCTCTCTGTCCAGTCGCCACTCCAACCACCTACGCTCCCGCCGCCCTCCTCACGCCCTGGTCACGCGGAATCGCCGCGCGCTCGGTAACCTTACTAGTACCGCCCCCACTGCCTACGAGTTCGAGGTCGAGCGACCGCGCGACGTCAAACCCATCGCGCAGAGCACGCCTGCGCACTTAGCCAAGCACCCAGAGGACGAACCGACGCTTGGGTGGATGGCCGCGAAGGGACGACTGGCGCAGACGGAGGAGAACTGGAACGACTCCCATGAGTACCGAAGTCACTCGCCCTCAACCTCCCTCTCCTCTGCGCCGGCGTTCCGCATATCCTTCCTCACTCGACCCGCCTCCACGTCCGCCATCTGTTCACGTCCGTACTCTGCACGCCAACCTCGAGCTACGCGCCCCCGTCCTCGTCCGACTCGCATCTGCCCGTTCAGCACGCGCCGGACGCAGGACTCTCCGCTCGGCGCGCCTGTGACCTCGCAGTGTCTCACCCAGTCGGCGACCCACCAACATGATCGCGCCGGCGCGCCCAGTAGTCCGTCCCTGTCTCCCCGAGTGCGCCGTGTTGGGCGCATGCGATTGCGTTCGATGTGGACGGGGGCGGCCACGATCAGCTACTGAGGTTCACGCAGGACCCCAAGCTGAGTGAGCAACAACCGCACAGGTTGTACCGCTCGCCTGCCACTCCAGCCGCATCCCTGCAGAGCTCGGCAGCAAAATTCAGCCCGCAAGCATCCATTGTAACTCGGTTCGTCAGTTTCCTCTTCTCTGCGGCTCGCTCGTTCTTGATACTGTTGACAAGGCGGACCCCAGGCTCGCCGCACTCGATGCGTCCACACTGCTCCTGCGCTTCGCCTGGTCGCGACTTCCCCGGCCCTCGCCTTAAACCAAATGAGTTTCACATCGGACTTCAACTTCCGCGATAACCACTGGCTCCCGACTCTCGGTGCGCCTGCGAGGTCATCTCCGTCATTTCGTCATCTCCATCGCCTGCCGACGTCGTCTGCGGTGGTCGCTGCTAGCCATTCATCTTCGTCGACAATCCGCTGACATGCTCATGAGCTCACTCAGCAAATGCCTCGCAAGCGGCACGGTCCCGGCCGGTGCAGACTCGCCGCCTATGACGACTCGTCCGACAAGCAGCAGCCCAGTGAGCAGGTACCGGCGGGCAGGAACTGGCACATCGAGCGCGATGCCGTGACTAAAGCGAAGGGAAGCGGACGAGACAGGGGGTGCCGAGGCAGAGACACGCCGCGGCGAGCGAAACTCCGCGTAAGCCTCTCCGTTTGGCGCTGTGATACTCGCTCTGACCGTCCCATACGGGCTGACTAGGCGAGGGCACAGATGGCGCGAACGTGGGTGTGCGGACGTGCCGTACATGGTGGCTGACCGGTGAGTGGCCAGATGAGCAGTGAAGTCTGCATTTCCGGGCCAACGCGCCTGCCGGGCGCGTGCAGTCTCCAAACGGCCGAGTGCCGGACCGGGTGCTTTTCGGCATGCCAGTGTCGGAACAATGACGTGCGGGGACGGTTCAGCGGTACGCGACCTCTGTGCCGCGCTTGGTTTGGTCACTGACCTATGTGCAGTACGTGTCACCTCGCCCAACCGGGAGGATGTTCGCTGCGCTCGACCGGGGCCAAATACAAATGTCCGACTGAGTCGGAGCTCATCAACCTTGCGCGGAGACACCGACTCACACGCAGAAGACGCGCAGAGTTGAGGGTGGGCACGAAGAGAGCCAGGAAGTCGGCAAGGGGCACGATGAGCGGCCACGCAAGACTGCTCGGTAGGGAACGCATACAATGTGCGAGGCGAAGGCCGTGAACAGATCGAGGAGAGAACGGGAGTGAGTGTCGACGCTGACCAGTGCATGTGGAGGCGCCGCTAACGTCGGTGGGCAGACCGGGATCGCGGCGGGCGAATACCAGCCCGTGAGCATCCCGTTTGGTGCCCTCTGACCGGGGCAAATGGGCTGGAGATTCGACCGGGCGAAGGCAGACGCGCCGCGAGCTCGTGCCGCGCAGCGATCGTCGAGGAAGGAAATGGTGAACGGCAGCAAGTGCGCCCGACGCGTTGCGGTCGCGCGTGCAGCTTGACCGGGGCAGATCGTAACTTGACATATCTTCCAGGAGGCATCGTACAGGTTTATGGTTCGTACGTAGCACGGCACGCTGCGAGTCGGCGGCGCGAGTACTTGGCACTGGTTGGCCGGGACACCCGCGCTCGACATCTGCTAACCAAGACTGCTAGCTTTTCTGCTCGGAACCGGATCGGAAACGGACAAACATACCCTATGAGAGATGGCTGGACACCCGAGTGCGTCTCGTCGTTGACTGACCGGCGTGGATATACCGCTGACGTCGGTGACCAGACCGGATACTGCGACGAATGTGTATCCGCGCATGAGCGCTGAGTCGACCGGGGGTAGGCGGATATGACGCGAGCGTCGGTAGTGCAGCGATCGTTGAGGGTGAATGACCAGTAAACCATCCGGTAAGCGGTCCGATCTGCGCGTCCAGGCCACGCGCCCTGACGGGCGCGCGAGTGTTGCGCGCGCAGGCTGTTCGGGGCAGCCCAAGTCGGAACCAAGACTGGCGTGGAGGTGGACCCCCGCGGCCGCATCGTGATCGACGACGAGTACACCACTTCCATCTCTGCCGTGAGGTGCATGGGCGACGTGACCTTCGGGCCCATGCTCGCGCACAAGGCCAAGGAGAGCATCGCGGCGGCAGAGTGCATCAAGGCGGGGCACGGGCACATGAACTACCGCGTGATCCCGGGTGTCGTGTACGTGCACCCGGAGGCGGCGTGGGTAGGGAAGACAGAGCAGGAGTTGAAGAAGGCGGCGGTGCAGTACACCGTCGGTAGGTTGCCGTTCCAGGCGAACTCGCGCGCGAAGGCGGGCGCGGGCGCGGGCGCGGGCGGGCGGGCGAGTTCCTCGCGGAGAAGGAGGACTGACTGCATCCTGGGGCTCGTGCTCGAGTGCGGCGCGAGCGCGGAGGACGTCGCGAGGACGCGCCACGCGTACCCGACCTCAGTGAGGTGTTCAGGGAGGCAATGATGCCTGCGTCCTTGAAGCCGAACCACTTGAGGAGCACAGGGGTCAGTGGCATGTGGAGGGCATGATTGCTGCGAAGATCGAGAGTGCGAGGCAGGTAGTCCCTAGCTACTTACCCTATCCTTGTTGTCGGCACGAGCATCTTGGGTTTTGCTGAAGCTGCAGTAATGTCTACTCTGTGTAAATTGAGAACATTGCTAGCTATGAAGACGAGTGATGAGTTACAACTAAATGCAAATTGGGCAGGGATTGACACTGCAAATGTAATCGTCATCGAGGCAGAGGGTGCATAGTTCATCGCCACAGCTGCTCTCGACGTCATCCTCCATACTCTCCACCCATTCCTTCTCCACAGTCGCAAAATCCTCGCCCTCAACATACTTCTGCCAGGTGGAGGCAAGGCGGGTACTCGTAACGAAGGCGATGCCAGCCTGCGCGAAAGGCGGAACATCGCACTTCCGATCCGAGCTGTAATCGAGCAGACTCGTGCCATGGTCGTGCTCAGGCATCCACGCGATCATCGTGTTGGGAGCCTGGCATACCTTGATGCCATAGACTGCCTCGTAGAAACTCCCTCCTGTCATACCCTTGCGGCGAGAAGTCGTCCAAGAGAACGCCCATTTCTGGGGCTGTTTCTCTCGATGAATGGCACTACAAGATATGCATCAGGACCGATTTAAGGAAATGCTGTAAGAGCACTTACCGCGCATAGTTACAACCAGCCACACCTGCAGGTGGTGCGAGTTCGGCATCATTGAACTCGACGTACTCGTCTCCGCACTCCACCATATAGATGCCTTTCGACTCCCGCGACTTCGAATTGGCGTCCATGCGACCCATCGAATTCTCGGAAAGGTACGACTCGAACGGAGCGAGGACCTCCTCAGGAAGGTGCGACTGGATCAGATTCCAGAAGAGAGCAAATACTGATGATACACGGAAGTCGTGCTCCCGTATGAATTCTGCGGTGTGTTTGGAGGAGCGGAGGTTCCGAGCCCAGTCGTACAGAGGGTGGCTGCGAGAACCAGCAGTGTAGCCGAGAAGCACAAGCTTCCCCGGGTCCTCGAGCTGGTGCACAAGTGTCAATAACGAGCACAAATGAGACTCAAATATTGCCTGCTCACCCTGACTGATCTTCTCATATCAGCCGACTGCTCTGTCTCGCCATTTGCGTATGCCAGAACCTTCTTGTCCTTACAGAAGTCCCGGATTATGATCATGACGACCTTGCCTGTTTTCCTGTCCCGAAAAACTACACTCTCCTCCTCGTGCACAATGTGTGCGAGCTTCGAGGGGTCCTCCACGGCAATAGGGTGCCGCGTGTGGCGCCTGTCCGCCTGCTTGCCCTCCTCGATTCGAGGTCTCCACTGCTCGGCTGTCTCGGGCGACTCAGCAACCCACCAATGGTAGTCGGGGTATGGCTTGGTGAGTGGGTCAACAAAAACCTCCGTCGTGTTCTCGTTGAGCCAGGCTGCCTTGCCGGCCTCATCTAGCCTCCGCAGGCGCAGGCGCGCAGCGAGTTCCCTGCACATCTCCTCCCGCACTTGGGTGTTCTGCTTACGCAGGACAAGGGCGTTCTCGAGTTGGTCCGGAAGTTGCCGGGCCCGGGTGTGAGCACACCATCCCAAGAAACCAGCAAAGAGGTCGCCTGCGGGGGAAGGAATGCCAAGGGAGGCGAGTCGAAGGTGCAGCAAAGCTGTGAGTTGTAGGCGGGGATAGGGATCGCTCGAGCGAGCAAGTAACTCGAGAGCAGCCGCATCGCCACTGATGTCTTCGATGAGAGCGGAGTATGCTGCTTTCCGGGCCTCTTTCTTTTCTTTCCGCGAAGGCATTGTGAGCCCTGAATGCAGATGAATGAGCTCTGCGTGGGCGGAGTCAGTGGAGTCTGGACACGCCGCGCGGCCTACATGGTCACATGACCGAATTGGCGGTGCCACACTCGCCGCTGGGCGGCTCCTCGTTTTCCTCCCGCATTGTCGCAAACGACCACGCATCCCGAGCTGCAGATCTTTTGGCGGCGGTCATGCGTTGATGTTCGCGTTGGGGTAAGGCCCGGGTGGTCGCATCCGCATGATCGTCAAAGGAAGGCTCGGCTTCACAAGATTTTGGTTGCTCTTGCCCAACTCGCAGCAAAGCCGCGGGAGCTGCAGGTTCAAACGGTCAAAGGCCGAGGTATGTTCTTGCTCGGGGAAATTGTGCTGCGCGATGCTAACGAATGAGCTATCTCACAGCCTGCTTCCACTTTCAGCAATGGTTGGGTCCTCCGCGTGCAGCGCCCGCCTGCCTCGCAGCCGCCTCGGCGACCCCGCTCCCAAGTAGTGTTAAGTTCGCTATTCGGCCACTTGCTGGCCCAGGCCAGCAGGCGTTCCTCGTGCTCGCGCTCGAGCCGAGCATCGTGGAGGGCGCAATCGAGGGCGGCGAGGGCGTGCCGAGCGCCATGTTGCTCGTCGCAGGGCTCGCGTTCAAGGATCTCGAGAAGTGCGTCCAGAGCACAATCAGGCATCTCCCGGCGCACTCGCAGCTGCGCGCGCCGCTCCGCAACGCGCTGAAGGTGTTCATCGTCGCGGGCCCTGCGCGGCCTCACCACCTACCTGCGCAACCGAAGGTCCACGACCCGAACGGCCTCGACCAGAGCAAGATTCCGTTCTTCTCGCAGCGGAAGCCTGCGTTTTCTGTGCGCTTCTTGGTGGCCGGTGTGCCCTACCACAGCAAGTACCTCAAGGGATGGCAGAGAAGCTGCTCGAGGAGGATTTGGGTGGCGAGGAACATTGGGCGAAGGAGGACCTGGGTGCGGCGGTCTATCATGCCAAGACCGGTGAGCATCGCATGCTTTGATGTAAAGGCTCCTCGGACTGATCGTGCGGTGCCAGGTAACGATCTCCGCGAGCTTACGATGTCCCTGCCGCACTCCCTGGGTGACCAAATTTTCACCTCTCCACTGTACTGGGCGAAGGCTACGAACTTCCCCGAGACCGCGGCACACGCTATTGACTTCGGTCCGCGTGGCCTCAGCGGCGCGTAACCTCAATGGCCGCGGCGCCCGCGTCAGCGTCGCGGGAGACAAGTCGAGGAGCGCCGCTGAGTTGCACGACGCGCAGGTAGTGAAGAGGGAGGAATGGTGGAGCAAGAAGTTCATGCCCAGTCTCGTGAAGGGGCGGTACGTTCCCTACAGCATTCGCTCATTGTGCGTTGCTGACCTTTCTGCAGCGATGGCAAAACTCACTTCGACACGCCGTTCTCCCGCCTCCTGGGCAAGCCGCCAAACTTGGTGGCTCGTATGGTGCATGCCACCGCCAAGGCAGGTTTCGTCAGCGCCGCCCTGGCGTCTGGGCATCACGTCGAGCTTGCTGGCGGGTGGTCACTACAACGCTGCTGCCCTCCGCACGAAGGTCGCCGAGATCCAGGGCAAGATCCCCGCTGGTGTCGGTATTACTCTCAACTCGCTCTACATCAACCCGCGCCAGTTCGGCTTCCGGTTCCCCCTGTGGCAGGAAATGTGCCGCGAGGGCCTGCCCCTCGAGGGCTTCTGCGCCGCCGCAGGTATCCCCAGCACGGAGAATGCAGCCAAGATCAACGGTGGCCTCGAGGCGGTGGGCACCCGGCGCATTTCGTTCAAGCCTGGATCCGTCGGCGGCATCCGCCAGGTCGTCAACATCGCCGCGGCTAACCCAGACTTCCCTATCATCCTGCAGTGGACGGGTGGCCGTGCGGGTGGCCACCACTCGTGCGAGGACTTCCACCAGCCGATTCTCTCGACGTATCATTCGATCCGCCGGCACAGCAATATCTCGCTCTTCGCTGGCTCTGGGTTCGGTAGCGCGAACGGCGCCTGGCCGCATCTTCCTGGTGACTGGTCCGCCAAGAAGTTCGGGATGCAGCCCATGCCACTCGACGGGTTCCTCTTCGCGCCTCGCGTCACGGTCACCAAGGAGGCGCACACGAGTTCTTCACTCAAGGATCTCATCGTAGCGGCGAAGGGTATTGATGGCGTGCAACGGGAAAGCACCTACGCCAAGGAGACCGGCGGCATCGTGGCCGTCAAACCCGAGCTCGGCACGCCCATCCGCAAGGTCGCTGCTGCACACGCTGCCAAGCTGTGGATGGAGTTCGACGAGACTGCCTTCAAGATGCCAAAGGAGAAGAGCGATGCGCGGATCAGCGAGAGGCGCGCAGAGATCATTGCGAAGCTGAACAAGGACTTCGCGAAGCCGCGGTTCAGGTGGAAGAAGGGCGGCAGCGTCGTCGCGGGCATCGCTGACATGGCCTATGAGGAGGTCGTCCTCCGCATGGTCCGCCTCGTGTACTGCCCACCTTGCTGAGCTTCGATCGCAAGCACAAGCTGCGCCGCGCACCATCCAGACCTCGCGCTACTGACCGGTGCCACCGCACACCCCGCAGCACAGTCCATCGTCGAATGGCGATTCGGGTTGGAGAGCTGGGCGGCGGGGTGGGCGGCGCGGCAGGAGCAAAAGTACGTACCCCGCCGCCGAGCAGGAAGCTACCGGGCACCGTTGCTGGCAGCCAGTCCGGGTCGCCTACCTTCGCGCGTGCCCATAGTCGGTGGTTCTCGCAAAGAGTGAGCAGAAGCATCGTTGCTCGTCTGTTGACTATACGCCGACCCTAGCTCCGTCTCCCAGTTGAAGCCACCGCGCCCACGTTCACTCCCCTCTGAGTCGCGTCCAGAAGACGAAATGCGATCGGAAGCGCAGTTCCAGCGGCTCGTTGCATCATTCTGCGAGCTACCTTCGCCACACCGAGTGCAGCGTCCGCCGCCAGATCAGGGCAGGTATCCCGAGGAGGCAGGCACCGAGGAACCTCGCAGGCCGGATACGCCGAGCGGCGACAGTGAGCTAGAGGAAGCAGCGCCGTCCTTGTTCGTGGATCCGATTGCTATCCCGAAGTCCGTTACACCCGCTGCGAGTGTGAATGGGGAGGGGGGGGACATGAGCATGCTGGATAGTCCAGCGATGGATGTCGATGCCGTATGTTCCATCACTTTGTTGCCTCCCTGATCCTTGGACTGACACTGGAGTGAGACAGCCATCGTCTGCGGTCGGCTCTCCCGCTGCATCCTCACGGCGGTATACTCCACCTCCAACGCCAAGTGCCATTAGGACGAGCAAGCGGAAGAGTGCGCTGCGCCTAAGAGTTTGCTCTATCATTCATAACTGGTGTTACGTTCAGCGGATGATCGATACGACCCGTACCCGACTACCAACAAGCGGCGTGCGGTCTCCATCCATCAGCTTCGCTCGGGACAACCAGCCATCGTCGTTCACCCCGGTACTCCTCGACGCCGAGCAGCAATGGGATACATTCAACATCCCACAGTGCAAGGTTGTGCCAGTGTCTCGTTGCTCGTCCTCTGTCGTCAATGTAAACGCGTCGCACCCGAGCAGCTTGCTCGCGCCTTGCGCCCGCTGTTTGCAGGAGAGGTGCAGCAATCTCCCCGCTTCACGCAACGGATCGCTTCGAAGCATGCTTTCACGATGCACGTCATGGAAAATACTCTTCCAGCTGACGCCGGTGCTCACACTCATTGACAGTCTCGCGATTCTGTCCGCCGTCCTCGGCTACGCGATCAAGGGCTCCTTCACCCCTTCCAACAGTCGCATCCTCGCAGCCTCAACACGCGACGCCCACATTCGGCTTTCCGCCGGTCAGCGTGTCCATCAACCATTCAACCCCACAACTGAGTCTGAACCCGGCGGCATCGGGACTCGTTCGGTCGTCTCTGAAGGATTTCGCCGTGGCCGTGCTCCCTGCGCCACTTGTTGCTTCCACCTCGAGCAGTCAGCCGGCGGCCACGCCATCTTCCCACCAGGCGGACCCCGTCACCTCCGTAGATGCGCCGTCCGAATGCGCCTGCGGCTGCGAATTGATCACCTGGCCAGGCAAGTCCAAGGGTACCGCAGACTTGATGCTCCGTTCGGCGCCCGCGACGTCAGCTGCACACGACAACGGCAAGTCTAGTCTGGCGATGGTCTCCTCGCATGCGCGTTACGCTGCGGGCGGCGGGAAGGGCAAGGCTGCTGCGTGCGGAGGCGGCACGATGTTTGCGCTGAGCGCCTGATGCGGCGCGGGCTCGCTCGCGGAGATTCTCGGCCTCGGATACACCGTCGTGGCGCGTGCGGTCGCGCAAGACGTGCTCGTGCGCGGGCGATGGAACTGAGGCAGATGGGTGGATGGTCGTTCGAGTTGGTGCAGGAGAAGGTGAGGGCGAGGGTGAACAGGGCGAGGGAGACTGCGCGGGCGTCGAAGGACGAGATATTAACGATGCCAGATGCGTGGCCGGCCCGCGGGAGGCAGATGGTAGAATCCATGGCGGCGCGTAGGCTCGCGCAGGGCAGGTGAGTGCGGGGCGGACGAGCGCGGGGCCAGGGTGGCTATACGCACACAGGAGGGCGGTTCGGGGGCCGGGGCGCTGGACAAGAGTGCGAAACATGCGACGCTGCGTGAGGTCGGAGAGGCGGCAGTCGGCGGGTTTGGCGGTGCAGGATGCGTTAGCGAGGTGAACGAGAGGCAGGCGGGCGCCGGCGCGGCGGGTCCCGCACAAGGCCAAGTGCGCATGCTCAGAGCGAGTGAAGTAGAGCGGGTGCGGTGTGCGAGAGGGCACGCGTGGAGAAGACGAGACCGGGCGGGCGTGCAGATGCAGAATTTCGGCTGTGCGCAGAGGAAAGGGAGAATGGGCAGTGGTAGACAGAATGGGCGCTGCCGGGTGCACGGCATGTTTCGGTGAGAGCGAAGGCGCGTGTCGGAGGACCAGCAAAGGTGAAGTTAGGCAGCAGGTAGAGTGCCGCGAACTTGAACACGGCATGATAGATCACAGAGGAGATGCAAGTCGGGTGTGCCATGACGCGGATGAGGGCGAGAGTGTGAAGGAGGGAGATACAGGGACAGGGTGCGTGTTTGCGTGCACCAGTCTATGTTAGCATCGTACTTGTCTCGTCTTCGTAGTGGCATGGTTTTGCCTTTCCATTGGCCTCTTAGCCTGCATTCTGTATGGTAGTTGTTTTCAATTCGTCATAACATCACCAAAGTAAGTACACATGAGTACGAGAGAAGCTGTCCATAATCCAGTCAGGGACTCGTCGTCTGCACGGCCTTGCACTGCATACTTCAGGCCCTGCAAACCCTGAATCAGCTCCTCTGGCCAATTCGTGTCGCCAGTCTCAACTGCGATGGTGTTAAGGCGCTCGGCAGGTGGTATGCGGCCTAGAAATGATGAGACACCTTCGTCTTCTGGGTTGTTCGCCTCGCGAGAGCCCAATAGGGCATCCTCTCCGAGACCCTCGAAGTCGACCCCATAATACTCGAGTTCTTCGTCTGTCAACAGCTGCTGATGTGGAGGAAGTTGGCCACCACGGATACCGTGGACATACATGTCCCAACCGAACATATCGGAAGGTGTACGATTTACACCAGAAATAGTGTGGTGGTTCCAGCCTGAGACAAAATACAGCAGTTCTGTGTTGATCAGGGGTAGGAAGAGATAGTGCAGGAGGTGAATGTGGTCGATGTTGTTGATGTTCAGCCCATGGCGGAGCTCGAGGTCTGTGAAGAAGTCAGCCCATTTTGATGTTACTTGCGCTGTGGCATCGACCCATAGGCGCTCGATTCGAACATTGTGGATGCTCCTGTATGCAAGTGACGAGAATCAGTACAGTGTATAGTAGAGGCACATGAATAGGCCCACCGCCCCCAAATATACGAGCCTCTTCCAGCCCCTACATGATCGTCCATCCAGCATGCTGTCTCGATGTTTTCCGTGCCATGGTCTCCACGAAGACGAGATGGTACTCCAAAAACTCGGCAGGCGTTGAGAAAGACATCAAGAACGGTCGAGCCTCGGTTGTTGTTGCTCGCGCGCAGACCCACAATAAGCCTTGAGTAGCCATCAATGAATCCATGTATGACGATGCGCCAGCGAATAAGACCTGCACCGCGGACGTCAGAAGGCAATCACTGCGACCTACACCGAAACAGACATACCATGTTGGCCGTCATGGTGCCAGAGAGCGTTCGGACCAGCTACCTGGTACTTGCGGCGTTCAATGCGGATGCGATCGAACACGCGCCGCACAGGGTCGATTCGAAGCAGGGATTGCCTCACCCGCGCTTTCGAGACATGGATGCCCAGAGTCCCCCGCAAAAAGCCAACCATCATGGTAGCCCCGGCGCGGCGGTAATGTACCCGGAGCTCCCGGACAGCGGTGTCAAGGTCGTCGTCACTGATGTCGGTGAGAGGTCGGGTATAGGAGGTGACCCGGGAGCTAGTATCTGCAGCCAGATTGTCTGCCTCGGAAACCCTGAAAGAAGTCATGATTCCTCTGTATCTCTCGGCAAAGACTTGCATACCTGGTCTCGGAGTCCTGGTTATGCTCATCCGAAGATTCGGAAGCATATCCATCATGTGTGCCATCGCCTGGGTTGTTCTCCACCTCTTCCATACTGCTCCTGCCATCGTCGTAGCTCGGTTCACCTTCGCGTCCAGCAAATGGATCAGACCGACACTCGCTGATGCCATACTCAATGAGAGCAGCTCGTACAGTAGATCGGTGTATGTTTAAAAAACGCGCTATATCCGCGATAGACTTGTGGCCATATGCCCAGCGGAGCCACGTCGGGTCGATGACAAGCCTTGGTCGGCCACGCCCACCACCATGGACCTGGGTGAGGATGACAGGCCTGCCATGATGAGATTGATCGAGGCTGTCACTGTGGAGGAGGTGGACATCATGACGAAGGAGTCCAAGACTATCCCGCATGATCGTAAGCTCCGAAGCATCGAATACACTGGCATTCTGGAGAAAGATCAAGGTAATCGTCAGCTTGCAGTATGTTAGGTATAAGAAGGCTTACCTGTTCAACAAGCTGGCTGAATTGCATAATGTCATCTCCGAGACGAGCAATGACAGTAGGGTCGGACGAGGTCACCGTGATATCTTCAACATTCCGCACATACTGATGATACCGCAGACGAAACTCGTTCAAGAGCTGCTGGTCCCGAGAAGAATCGATTCCGCGGGTGTTGCGATCCATACTGGTCGGCAAAACGGAAGGGCAAGCCTGAAGGACTCGGAGGATGCTGGGGTTCGTTGTCTGCCAGTGAAAGCTGCGGCACCATCAGAGATCGGATTAACAGTGGGCAAGCACCTGTCGGACGCACCCTATGATGCAGCCGCTGGCAAGTCGCCGGCCACGAATGTACTGCGAGCAAGCCAGCTGATTGCACGGATAGCTTGAACGAGTAAGTCAACTGACTGTAAGTGTACGATCAGGTACGATGAATGCGTAATTCAGCAAGGTGTAAGTGTATCAACTCGGAGTAAGTCAGTAGTGCTAAGTGTATGATCGCCGCGGCTCGAGTAAGCCAGCTACAGTAAGTGTATGATTGCTACGAGTAAGTCTCACTACGAGTAAGTCAGCTACCGAGTACAGACTACGCCGGGTAAAGTGAGTTAACTGGGTATATACTGTACGAGTAAGGCGGCGTAGTGTACAAGTAAGTCAACATAGTGCATGAGTAAGTCGGTGTAATGCACGAGTAAGTCGGTATACTGCATGAGTAAGTCGGTGTAATGCACAAGTAAGTCGGTGTAATGCACGAGTAAGTCGGCGTAGCGTACGAGTAAGTTGGTGTAGTGCACGAGTAAGTCGGCGTAGCGTACGAGTAAGTTGGTGTAGTGCACGAGTAAGTCGGTGTAGCGCACGAGTAAGTTGGCGCAGTGCACGAGTAAGTCGGTATGTGCACGAGTAAGTCGTCACAGTGTACGAGTACAGTGGAACACGCAAAGTGCGACCAGCAGCGACGCACATCGCGCGCGAATGTAAGTCGCATCACTATAACTAAGTACACAAGAGTACGACCTACCTAGTAAGTAATTTTTCACGAAAACGCCACTCATAGTTGTCCGACTGATGCTCGCCTTCGTTGCCAGTACTTGCTCACGCGAGCTAACACGACGAACGAACACATCCGCTCACCTCAGAGCACACAGACGTAGCGCTATCAACCTTCCGCCTACTTGTCCGCTCACTGACTCATCCACCGGCCTCCCGAACACCCGCCCGTTCGATCGCTTGCTCAACCGTCCCCTCATTTACCAGTTTTCTCACTCGCCGTCGCGCATGCACGCTCACTTGTTCGCTCGTTGCTTTTCCTGGCCACTCGGCCGGTCGCCTGCGTGCCCGTCACGTCATGTATTTATGCATTGCGAATGAAAAGAAGGGTGTGTGAGCTGTTCAGTATGTAACTATCTCGTCCACGTCTCGTCCATGCGCAGCCCACACGCAACTTTGGCCGGTGCATGTCTTCGCTGTGAGCTCTTCGTCACAGCCTAGTCACTGTTTTCATACATAAGCTCAGCCAATATTCGTGTAGCCTCGAATAAAGCTGGTGCTCAGGGTGCATTGTATTCCATATGATAGGGAGACTGCAGTAGTGTACGGTACAATGACGGTGCTAGCTTTAGTCTGCATGTGGGGAATACATTCATATTTTGCCTCGGTTTCATTTTCCTTCAATTTCGTGCAGGTAAGTCAGGGAATTCGCAGCCTGCCTGTGCGCGATTTTTGACCCTGGGGCCTTGCGTTATGGAACTCGCTGCAATGTCTCGTCAAGCGATCCGTACTAGTAGTACCCTTGTAGTACCCTCTGTCGGTTTACCTCGACCACGAACCTCGGTCTACCTGAGCCTCGCCCTCGACGTTGCTAAGTAGTATCATAAATATCATAAGTAGCGGAGACACTGGCATAATATCATAGTACCTCCTCCGCCCCGATCTGAATCTCACCGGAGACACGGGCCAGATCGAGGTCGCCCTAAATTCGCCTCAAACTCATTCCTACATCGAGCCAATGGGATGTAGTTTGAGGTCGCCGGCATACATATACGATGCGCTCTCGGGACGGCCGAAAGTTTTTGCCCCAAATTCAGGATCTTTGATAGCCCTAAAGCGGAAAGTCAATTCAGTTGACCAATTTCAGACCGGCGCATAAGCTTCATTTGGGCCATTGATAATAAGACAAGCCCATATTGAAACACAAATCTTGAATTTATGTTCGGGTTTCCGGCCATACAAAATCACGTCCCATTGGCTCGATATAGGCATGCGTTTGGGCCAAATTTGAGATGACCTCATCCTGGCCCATGCCTCCGGTGTCTAAAGCCGCGCACGCTTGCGACTGCAGTCTGCTTGCCACCTGCACTGCTCGCCACTCCGCAAAGCCGCCTTGTCTCTCAACGACTACCGCATCGTAGTGCACGCGTGCACGGAACTGTAGTTCAAGTTGTCTATCCTATACTAGTCCCACCACCAGACTTCGTGGCCTTAGATTTGTGTCGCGGAGTGTTGGGAGTTTGTGCTCTCTAAACGGTCGAGTCGTCGGAGGATCGTTAAGTATAGGAGATTTACGTCGGACTCTGGCACCGGTGAGTCGTTGTATGTGCTGTCCTCTCCCAGAACTCAAGGCATGTCACGCATATATGCGGTTCTTCGTCCGCAGAGCGTCATGTTGGTGCCAGTCTTCCCACCGGAACTTTGCCAGAACATACTGGACCTCTGCTACGACCGTCGTTCTCTCTCGGCGTGCAGCTTGACTTGCCGTGCGTGGGAGAAATGGGCTCGCCGTCGTCTCTTCGAGGCCGTCAAGCTTACAAAGGTCGATCACTGTCTCTCCTTCGTTGCCATCCTGAAGTCGTCGGTATCGGCAGGCACCAACATACGAGACTATGTCCGGACTGTCAGTTTCAGCTCTTATGGATACGCCCGGCCTAAATGGCGCGACGCTGCTCGATGGGCGTTTCGTCACCTGCCGAACATCGTATCATTGCATTTGACCTTTTGCAACTACAACGAACTCGTCGCCTGGGCTTCCTGCGACGAACAGGTGGACATCAATGCTGCCTCGCGGTCTATAGGTTCTCTGTTCTCTTCATCCAAGATTTCGAGCCTCAGCATTTCCTGGGTGTCTTTCAAATCTTGGGAAGACTTCTGGACGCTCTGTACATGTTTCCCGTGCCTTACGAGACTAGAACTTGGGGACATGGAATTTGACCAACCACTACAGCCGGAGCACCCAGTACTAGAGGTCAAGCCAAATGACACAGCAAGCATGCCTGCTCTTACGACCATCAAATCTCTCGTTGTAGTTTCCGGTGCTCAAAACACGGCGATCATCCTATGTGGTTTATCACGGTATCTATTCGAGCTTCGTCTACGACAGGTAGACTGTATCTGCGCTGGAGGCGACCCTCGCATGTTCGATGTCATCATGTCATCAGAGCAGTCTCTCGAATATCTACACCTAACGTTTTGGAATGACTCATGTGAGTGTAACTGTGGCGCGGCTCAAAGCGTTGTATTCACTTTGTCTAGTCCTGCGAGAGGGCGATTTGACGAAGCACACGAGGTTGAACACCCTTGTTCTTGGATTCCTCTTCAGCTATTTCATTCCGGGTGACAAGCCGTGCATTGCCCTTCAAACGTTCCTGTCTCGTCTCAACGTTGGGTGTATGCGCGAGCTCGTCGTCTGCGTCGAGCTCCCCGTCCGCCCTGCGGGCTCCATGTGCTGGGAGTTCTTCGACTGGTCGGCCCTCGATAGCTCTCTAGCTGTCCTCGCGAAGAATCGACCCGCTCTCCGGGTTACGTTTGACCTTTCCTTAACTCTCCTCGGCGGAGCCGCTTCTCCCGATACCTTCGGACCTTTGGCGAGCCAACTGCGTAAAAGCCTGCTTATGGGCTTGAAAATCAAAGTGGTGGCGAGGCATGGTCCCTCCAAGCGTCGTCATTCTGATGACACCGTGAAGACATGCTGGCTCTCCGTTACGCCTCGCTCATTGGTATAATTTGCACGGTGAGCTATAGTCTTGGCGATTAGCGGTGGAGTCTGACGTGACGGCAGTACGCGCATTACAGAGTAGCTGGGGTTCTAATGCAATTCGTACACCAGAGCGACGATCAACTTCAAAAGCATAGTAGTTCGGCTCGTACGGCTCAGTGTGCTCTCTCAGATCATCGCTCGAATCGTAGTGTGCGCGGAACATTGACTCGTGTCGCTTATTCATGCCCACATTCTCGTGCCTCTCATTCTTGGATTTATAGCAATCCGCACGCTCCGAGGTCAGTCAATGCTGCTCATGGCAGCGCAATATAGCGACCGACGCTCGTAAGACGGATATGTGCGCTTCATGTTGAAGCCAAGCTTCCTCGTGGGTATTGCCCGTCAAGTTTGTCGCGGCGTTGTCTCAGTCATGTGGCATATACACTGCCGATCCAGTACGGCGTCTTATCAGACACTCATCGGTCTATCATTCATACTGCGACCTTCGTGCTGTATTGTCTCAGCGTGTTCTAAGGTCAGTGCAGTGACTTATGTTGATGGTAGCGGCCCACTGAGCTTCTATACTTGTGTTGTAGTCTGTACAGGCTGCAAGCCCGCCTCATTGCGTACGGCAACCTCAGTCGTTGAACGCAACAGTTAGCGTGTCGTACTTGTGAACGAAGTGTACCTGCAAGTCTCAGATCCCTTTGTGAGAACACCTTGAAGTATTGTCTCTGCGATGTGATGACAAGTTGACCCCATAGGAGGCGACACATCCTGCCTGATGGAACCACAAACACTGCATATCGCGCTGCCACCCGAACTATGGGACCCCATCGTCGACGAACTGTCGTCTGACCGCTCAGCCCTCCGGGCATTCAGCCTAACACAGCGTGCATGGGTCGCTTCGACCCGGCGGCGCCTTTTCAAGGCGATCGAGCTGAGGGGCACCGAGCGCTGTGAACGCTTTCGAGACATCCTCATTTCATCTTCGTCGGTCGGTACGGGTGTGGCGCAGTGGGTATCCGACGTCACACTCAGCGTGGTCCGCCTGCGTCTCGACGTCCCCGAGGACGCGGAGGCGTCCGATATACCACTCCTGGAGGAGACACTCTCGAGGCTGCCCAACGTGGACAGTCTACAATTGTACGACGTGGATGTCAAATGCGGGCCGGAGAGTCAGACCGACGGCGATGCCAGGCTAGAGGAGGGATACCCAGATAGGCCGCTTCGATCGTTGTTCACCTTACCGAAGCTGCGTTTGCTGGCCCTCAAGTCAATCTCGTTCGGATCACCCTTTGACACAATGCTTCTGATCTCTGCTTTTCCGCAAATCTCTTCGTTGAATTTCCTATACCTGTATCATCCGCGTCTGGATGTGGATCCGACACACTGGCCGCCTCAGCTACGAGCCTACTGAGTAAGATTTAACGTTCGGAACGTTAAAGCCGGAGTGAGATTCGCCCGTCTCGAACGTGGCGGCCGGCGCCGGCCGGAGGGGTCCGGGTCCACGTTGCAGACGTGATCGTTGCCAGTGGACCGGCCGGAGAGCATGCCGGCCGGTTCGGCCTCGTCGCCAACGTTGCGGCCGGCCCTCCCCTCCTCAAATCCCATCCTGAACGCTTCACCTGGCCTCTATTCCCTGAGCGTTCCAACGCTCCGGCCGGAGCGTGTCCCAGCCCACCCCTCACTCCTCAACGCTCCACCCGGCCACCTTTACCGAGCGTGTCAACGCTCCGGCCGGAGCGTGTCCCAGCCCACCCCTCACTCCTCAACGCTCCACCCGGCCACCTTTACCGAGCGTGTCAACGCTCCGGCCGGAGCGCGTCCCAGCCCACCCCTCACTGCTCAATGCTGCGCCCGGCCTTGCCTGTCAGCAAAACCGGCGCCCCGAGATTACATCGGCCACTCGGGTGATACATTGTCCAAGGGGCTACGCTAATTTCGGTGATGGGACATCATATTGTGATTTCACATCAATATGGATCACTATGGATCTATGCTTCGGGTGGAGGCATCGACTCGTGATCTTATCCAGGGCATGAGGTAGCCTCATGGCGAACGGAAGGTACCCACGAGGCCGGTTTGGTGCGGGGATGTCTGTCTGATATATCTCTGCGTTGCCTTGAACCCTTGCGACACTGCTCATTCCCCTGCCTCTGCCTTGTTCATACGATGATCACACCGGAGCAGGTGCGCGTCCAGTACTTGTCGTATTTGGACGCAATGTATCTTCGCTTCCTCTCGGCACCGGAATCGCGCGCCCCGCGTGCTCCACTCCCCGGACTACTCCTCGATGTGTATCTCGTCCGCCAGGCCCGGCGTGCAGCTGAGATGCTTGCAAAGGCGTTCAATAATCGACGTACGTGCCCATAAGTTGTCAGCTTCCATGGTCATTTACTCATTCATGAGCAGTTACTTTGCCGTGGGATGCAACAACTCATCCATGTGCCGTCCCGGACGACGATGAATTGGCCACGGTGCAATACGATGATTGCTCAGACCCGCTCACCATCGAAGACAGTAAGGGCCGGATGCTGTTGTGGCATCTTCCCGGCGTGATCATAGAGCCCTTTGAGGTACGCCGGAATCCAGAGGGCTTTTGCCGACTGTCTCTAAAACAATACATAAATACAAGGGTGTAATATGGGATGCGACGATGGACCTCAACCCACTCTTGGCCCGGAACCGCCCGAAGGCTAGCGCGGGCTGGAGGGAAAATATCGCGAACTTCCGGCAGCCGCAGGAGGGGGACGAGCTCGTCCCGGCATGTGTGTCGTTTTCACCGGGATGGTTCCAGCTCGGACACGACGTACGTATTCCAATACGTTTTCGACATTATTTCTCTCACAACGAGCAGGGCGCGGACGATGTGCCAAGTGTCTCTCGACTGCTCGCCGATCCGAACACTGCCGTCGCCGGCCGGGCGTGGTTGGCCGAGATGATCTATCCGCATATCATCATCTCCGGTGTGCTGCACATTATGCACCCGGATTTATATGACGCCGGTATTGCCTCGGTTGAAGCCTTGCGAAGCGATCCAGACCGGGCCAGCGTTGTGGATACGTGGCAAAACCCATTCAATGCGCTCTCGGTGGTGACAAACCGCGCAAGCCCGGTTCATCGCGACAAGATGACTCCTCTGAATGTCTATGACATTTTGATGACCATCGGGGGCGATCACGAGCAGGTCATCCGGTTCCCGACATTGCATCTCAGGCTTCCCTATCACAGTGGTACAGTGACAGCGTTTTCGGGCACTCGCCTCCCCCATGAGGTTCCGCTTTCATCTGCGGAGCGGTTGTGTGTAGCGTATTTTATGCGACGGAATGTACATCGCTGGGCAAATGTGCCTTCTGCCGGTTGGCGCAGCACTGGAGAATGAGGAGGACCGGGAGGCGGGGAGAGTGGTTAGCGAAGGGAAATGGCTATACATTTGGCACTCCGTAGCTGTACGTTTCGGGGTCCATAACAATCCATGTTCTTTGTTGATCACAATATGCTCTGATGCGCATAACGCACACCGGGACATTATGTAGGTTTGACCGGGGAAACACAGGCACATCTCAGTAACATCGACATCTCATTGTGCACTACTTTGGAGTCTGATACAATACCACGGTGAACATTACTTGAATGCGGAATCAATCACCCGGAAGTACGACACTGCTGCCGGGGCCGTTGGAGTCTCCCCGCGCTGCCAGGCTTCCAGCTCGGCCGCATTGGCCCGGGCGGCAGCATGCCAAAAGTTCAGCTCTGCCTGTATGTAAATGTCCATGGTTTTCATCGCCTTCCCCAATTGCTGCAACCATTTCATCATGTTGTTTGGCATACTGGCCGGCATTTCATCCGGGCAGAGTTTCGCCGGGAGCGGAAATCTGGGCAGGTGTACGCGATTAATTTGCTCGGCGCGAACAGTGACTTTGTCCTAAGACATGCATTAGCATGACCGTTTAGCAGGGTGATAGGTCATCCGTTCGACGTACCCGCAATTTCTCCAACTCGAGATGCTGCGAGACACGCCGAAGCTGATCCTTGGATGCTTGGAGCTGGTCTTTGATGATGTCGTCCATACAAGCCTGGTTTGCTCTCAATTCCTCCAGCATTGCTTCCGGGGTAGTAATTCCAGCGGGTAGGTCGTTCACGGTTTGATTTACCGCGCCTTCCCATGCCACGGATTTAGTATCACCGGGGATGCGCGCATCGGCCCGAACATTACCTATGTGCTCTCCGCCCGAGACTGGCATTCTCGGGAGATATTCCGGCGTTGAATTTTGACCATCGCCAACCATTGTGGTTCCCTTGATTACATTCGTAACAATGTCCACCTCTTCGGCACCCGGGGGGGCCACAATCTCACAGTAGGCGGACATGGCGTCGGTGAGACCGTAGGCTTCGGCGACGTCGGCCTTCAGGAGCTCCTGAAGGCCAATCATGAGGGCAGAAACCGACTAAGTTGTTCGTTTGCTGTGAGTCTACGTAAGCAGTACCTGGCACACTCACCAGGCCGACAACGAAGTTGTCAAGTGCCCCGGGCGCGGCGGGATTCCCTTTCGCTTCGGCAAGTGTTTGGAGAGTCTTGGGAATCATGAGATTGGTTTTGATGTCTTCCAACACTTTGGTGAGGATTGCATTCATGTTGACTATGAGGTTCTCGGTGAAGAGTGCGGGGGCTGTGTAATCGCAATGGTAGTTGATGTGGACACAGTGCGATGGAGGTCTTATCGGTAACTGATCTCCAATCTAGAGCACGTGATTCGACTCTGGGAGGGTTGCCTTCTTTGGTATGGGATGCTCGGCACGTGTGTCACATTGCCGAGACATGACTTCTCGCAATTCAGGTGGTGTGACAGTATTTGTGCTTAATCACCCCCATCACACCGTCCTTCTACATTCAGCTCACACTTGTTTTCTCTTCCAATATGGATATGGTGTGTTCCCGTCGCTCCCACCAATCCCATCTCGTGCATTAACCGAGATGGGCAGTCATACATTCCGGAAACATTTCCGTTTTTCAGATGGGAGCTCCTTGCATTTGCATTGTCCACCCCGTGAGTGCTTCCCACGGTTCATTGGAGAGCGCCCTGGTAACATTATTACTTAGGCATGCCGAGATTGTCGCCGGGCGGCCGAATACATATTCAATCACCCGATATCTGTTCGGGCAGGTTATTTTGTCGGTCACATACGAAAGAAGCCAAGTATCCATGTGTGTGCCCGACACCGATGATCGCCTGGAAAGAATCATGTTGCTTTTTGATGTTGTTGAGGCACGGGATGGAATGTTAGAGGGTTGACCACCTCGTCATAACTGTAGTGGCGCTTTTCTCCTGCTATCGTGCTTTGCATTAGAGTTTTGAATGCCAAAGGCCCTTCACTAATTACCCGAGACCTGGCATGGAATATAACAATCCTTGCCCGGTCACATTTATCACGCATTCGGTGTGTCCCTCTAAACGCACTGCCAGTCCCTCTAAGATCCAACGACCGACAGGTTATTGGGATGCCAATGTTATGTATAGAGGTGTGCTGCATTCTAACGGACACTCCCTGCACCGAGGCCGGGCCAAGAGGTTCAGAAAGTGCACGGGCCGAGGTTTTCCAAAGTGCTCGGGCCGAGAGGTTGGGACAGCACTCGGGCCGCGCGGTTGGGACAGTGCTCGGGCCGCGCGGTTGGGACAGTGCTCGGGCCGAGAGTTCGGGACAGTGCTCGGGCCGAGAGTTCGGGACAGTGCTCGGGCCGAGAGTTCGGGGATGCACTCGGGCTCGGAGTTGGGTTCACGGAGGAGCTGTGCGCGATGTATGGCTTGGGCCTATTGCTCGGACCCTGGGAGCTATGTCGTCGGAATGATGGTATTCTCCCGGAGAGACATTTTCTGTATCAATGGACAGTCGGTACAGCTATGTCATAACATTCGGTTCAATGTACAAATCCCGCCATGCCACCATCGCATCTTGATGCAGCCGATCAAACAGTGCAGCCTGTGCCCGGCAGTGTTGTGAGAACCCGGGGTACTCGGCCTCCGTGTTTCTCGTTGCCAGCTGCCGCCACCGGGATGCTTCGTTGGCAAAGTATCGACACACGGAGTCAAGCTCCCGGCGCAAGATCGCAGCTTCCTCCTCCAATCTGTCAACCTTTGACCGGGCGTGGAACCACTGTACCCGGTGAACTGTACTCAATGTCAGCAAAGACTCCAATGTTGTACGCGCATGTTTCCTACTGATTCCCAGTTCGTCATCGCTCCGCATGTCGCCACCGACGTCGACATTCCATATCCACGAGGACGATTTATGCCTTTGTCCCGGCTTATTAGGCTCGGCGATTGCAGTCACTGTGTTGAGATCATCCGTTGTAAGTGGCTTGTACTTTGCCTGCTCTTCTCCCGAGACGCCAAGTACTTGCATGGCGGCTCGGGCCCGGCGATAAATGGCAGCTTGAAGCTGCACAGCTCGGTCGAGTTTCCCCAACTTCGTGAAGGATCGGGTGCGCTTTGTGTGGCCTTCCCTCCTCCCGTGCCGAATGGTGGTCTGGAACTCGAATGATTTCTTGCCAATGAGAATCCTCAGCTGCTGCAACGCATCATTTGCCTGTCCACGGCGCAGGGTCAGCTCATGTGCCGCCAATCGTTGCAACCCATTTGCAGCAAGTGCATTCCGGGATAAATTGGACGGTAGGCCGAGTTTGGTATGCTCGGACGCCTTTGACGGGTACGGAGCTGGTGGTAGACTTGAAAAGAGGCGCCATGGGCTGTCGTCGTTGCGGTCCTCCTCCCATTCATCCCCCGAATCGTCTTCCACTGCATCCTGCTCTGCGATGCCCCAGTTATGCCTTCGGTGAATGGCAGCCGCTCGCCTGTGGAAACGCCGGATTTGGATCTCAAGAGTCTTCCTCCGTTTCGCCAGTTTCAGCTCCTGCGGCCGAGTAACGATGGCCCCCATTTTCTTCACGTCCTTCTGGATTCCGAGTCTGGACTTACGTCAGAAACACACCGGACAATGGGTGTGGAACACTTACTGTTGCTCCTCAAGCTTGAGGCCATCTGCGATCCAGTCCGCTGTCCCGACGGATCCTCGCCCTCTCCCTCCTCTTCCGCCAGCTTTATTTGAAGCTCGAGCCGGGATGGCACTGTGATCATATCAGAACCTAAATCAGCCTGGGTGGCCAGTGGACCCACTGATTTGTTTCTTGGCTTGGTATCTATCCATTACCTTGACATCCCGAAGCCTTTTCCGTTGTACTATCCTCAGTTCCCTCCTCCACGCTCCCAGAACTTCGGCATCGACACTGGCCTCCTTCGCGGTCAGGTCGGCCTTCATCTCCGCCAGCAGTGGGCGGTTCGCTTTGATTTTCCTTCTCAGCGATGCCACTATCAATTGTCAGCCCGGTGTTCTCTCCGAAGATCAGTGAGAGGCCTACCCATAGTGATCATTTTCTTCCAATTCCAGTTGTTCATGTGCCGGTCGAGTGTTTCTTGCCGATGGGATGTTGACATTGTGCGTGTACTACCCGACACGGGATTGATCCCCGACCATTGGGTTTCGATGATCTCGCCGTCAGCTTGCCCGGCACCCTCGGTGAATGTGAGAGAGTGCCGGAGTTCGCATTCGGCCTTATGACCATGAATGTGAAAGAGCCCGATGCACTTGTATAACACAAGGCCACCGGGCATCTCCAGGTGGGGATTCTGGTCAAACCGGTCGTCGAGATGGACATGGTACTGGCACATTATGTCGTACGAGAGGTAAACGTGCCCAATCCCCCTTGACCGATAGCCCAGGGCGTTGGAAAGGGAGTAGTCCATGTTCATCTGACGTTCACCCTTCTGATAGTTCACTACCGAGTGCGGAAGGAAGCACCCGTGCCTCAAACAAGATGTTGCGCCGATCCCGGTGACAGCCAGCTTATGCCGGTCGGCGTTGGCCTGGGAGACCGCCTTGTGGTCGTTGCAGCTTGAGTGCTGTGGGCGTGTTAGCCAGACGTTCTCATGGCCGATGTAACCACCCTCACCATCTTCACGTCCTTCGCTACTTTCAGGTGCTCCTCGTATGGGCCGGATGAACCATGAACATTTTCCCCGGCATCAACGGTACGTCGTTCTCGGGCTTGCGCATTTTCATTTGCTCGGCGTGGAAGTTCCCATCCATGACATATCCTCGGGCATATAGGTACCTCCAAAACAGTTCAGCTGGCGTATACCGGTGAACAGGGTAACTACTTACTTCCTATCATCCACCTCCCAGTCCGCGGGTATGTTCACTCCGGGCTGCGGACACGCCGGGCAAAAGTGAGCGAGGTCACCGTTTCCCGGAGCCCCCCGCCACTGTGGCCCGTACCCGAACTGTTTCTTCGCCTGCAGCAACGCCCATTCCCGGCTTACCCGGAGCAACTCGAGATATCGATCCTGTGCAATGGTGATCATCTGGGCAAGCAGGCGTTCCGGCAACTGACTCACGGGTACCTCATGAGGAAAAGCCGGGTTTGTCGCCCGGCGTATCCGCTGGTAGAAGTTCATAGCCGTAGTCTTGCACTCCAAATTGTCCAGAAGAAACGCGTCTAAGACCGCAAAGGTGAAGCACGTGCGAGCCTTCCGCTGACTCGCCGGATACAGCCCGGCATCAAGCAACTGCGACGTGTGGTCACCGGCCCAGGGACATCCGCACGGCGTCACCGGGAGGAAGTGCACCCCGGACGTGTCAACAATAGTCATCATGGCTGGTGGAGGCCGTGGTGGCGAGTCGGCGTGATGCAGAGGGTCTGCAGGTATCTCGGCTTCGTCGTCGCCGGCAGCATTGGCCGGCCTATTGGCTTCTCCGTCCTCGTCATCGTCCAAGACAGCCGCCGGCTGGGAGCACTCCCCTCCTCGGTGCCCGAGGTTGATTGATACTCCAACCTGACGGAGCCATGCAGGTTCCCAGTATCCCCCAACATTCCACTGCTCAACCCGGTGGAATGGTGTTCGCCGGTGCTCGGCGAGACAGCACGTCGGGCAGAAGATCGGATATCCGATGCAGGACATGCACTTCCACACACCGCCACCGTTGTTGCACCCGGCGCACATGTAGCTGCCCTCCGCGTTGAGCGGCGGGGGTGTGTAGTGGGCGTACAGGGATCGGAGGTAGTTGTGCTGGAGGGGGATCCATTCTCTCAGCATCGCAGGTTGGGTCTGATGGTGTGGGTAAGGCTCGGTCCACAACAACACTTGGGAATTCTGTGCACCTGTGGGGCAGTCTGACGAACTGAACTGAAATCACAGAATGTTGTGTTGGCAACATCATCGGTTGGTGGTGTCCAGCTTAACTGTCTCGTCGCTGACCGAGCTGTTCGACGGGGTGTAGCCGGTGGAGTCTGTAACCCGCTGTTCTGTATCTCGACAAGTCGTGACCGCACACCCCTTGCTGTAGTTCGTTTCTTGAGTGTGAGCTCAACCACTCCGGGCGAGGTTGCTATTGGCCGCAGTCGACCCATCGTTTGAGGGGCGCAATCACCCCACCGCCAGTTGAACAAGGAATACGTGCAGCGTGGTCTCGCCGTCGGTCAACACACAGTTTGCGTCTTCCCTGCCATAGTCACCTACCCCCACTTTGGAGCGGGCCGGCCGCACGTGCACCGAAGACAGTGGGGCCGGGCCCAGAGAAACCGATCTGAGTCGCAAACCGATCGTTGCCGCCCAAATCAGACAGCTATTTCCGATGAAATTCATGGTTCTCATGAGAAGCGGCCGCGTAATGGGCCCGGCGGTTGCTCCCCATTTGCATATACAATGATGCGGCCGGCAAGGTATCGATCACACCGGTCCGGCCGGCCTGCCGGGTCACGTGTCGGGTGCAATGGGTTTCATCCGGGCAGACGAGGTGCTAGAAGAAAATTATGGGTTGCATTTGGGCCGAAACATCAGATTGACCCCTGAGATTGAGATTCAGCGATCGCCTAGTCGGTGCGGCCGGTGATGGACCTCGTTGAAACGGGGTAACCGGAGTCCTCGACCGGTGCCCGAGTGATGTAGAATCTGGATTGCACGGGATCCTCGAGAGCGAGGGCAACGGAGTCACACTTTTTTGACAAAACCAATTGTCTTTCCGTCCTTTTGTGACGAGCCGGCCGGAATTCTTCCCATCAGGGCGGCCGGATGCGGCTAAAGGGTGAAATGTACAGAACAAATTGTGCATCATGTAATGCTTAGCCCAACACAGTTGTTGCGGTCGGGTACATCCGTGCAAGGTCACAGTCGACTGATTGTCACGAACAGGCCTTCGGGATCACTGTCTCCGTAGCGCCGAATATACCCACCCCTTGTTACGACTACATTCGTCGACACATTACAGCCTGCTCACCCTGCATCCTCACTCCGTCAGCCACGCTCGCCATGGGAAAGGTTCCCTGGGAGGCACCAGACCTCGTCATTCTCGAAAGCAATCTGAAGGCCTGGCAGGAGGCTTCCGATGATCCCGAGGGCCGCCAAGAGCTTGTTGACAACAGCATTCAACGGCTCGAGGCCCGGAAGCAATACAAGTTCGATGCCGTGTTACGAAAGGTACGTAGTCCAACAGTTTGATGGGTCAGTGAGGAATGATGTCCGGTAGCGTGTCGGCAAATGGTACTCGAACCGCCGAGGGTCGAAGGAACAGGTCAAGAAGGAGATGTTCAAGCTCGGCAGGGATATAACGTGGAGGACGGTGGCCGCCCGGGACCGGGAGGATGAGCTCGGGGAGATCATGACAAGAATTGGTCGGGAGAGGGGCAAGGACGGGTCGGATGAGGAGGAAGACGATGAGGAGGGGGAGGGGGAGGAGAAGGAGGAGAAGGAAGGGAAGCCAGTGACCCGGCACGACATTCCGGGCATCTACCAAACCGCCCTGAAGGAACTCTGCGACAATCTGTCGCCGGAGGACCAGGCCGACTACATGCAGGTCGCAAAGGATTGGAATACCCAGGTGTGGCCAGCCGACCTTCAACGCAAGCAGCTGGAAAAACACGGCGCCAACATGATCCGCGATTTCATGAAGATCATGTGGAGGAAATGCGGGATGAGGGTGTTTTTGCTCGGCGGGGTACCGATGGCTGACGGGAAGACCGGTGTGTTGGAGTATGTGCATTACTGGTAATACATTGCTTCGGTGTCCTGAACGCATTGGCAGGTTCGACTTTAACGACGAGATGTTTCTGGAGGAAGGCGCCCCGAGGGTTCCGAAGTTCACCGGGAGTCAGCCCGAGTGGAAAACGGGAATCATGTATGATCTGTGGAAGACATACGTCGAGGAAGCCTTTGGTATGTGGGAAGATTCCGCAGTGTGTCCGACAGCTGAATGAAGCGTCACCAGATGCGAATGGATTCGGGGTCGAAGAAGCCCGGGGCCCGGCAGCACTGATTGAAGACATGGACTGGGACGAGGACGAGACGGGTACCCGTTGTTGCCTCCAGCGGATCACGATTGCTTCAAGAAGACGAAGTTCAAGCGCGTATTGTTGGGGACGTTCGTCCGCAAGACGTATGGTGCGTCACACCGACTTTGCGACAATCAGCGTGCCTGACACTTCACCCACAGTTCAATTCACCGAACGTTTACCGGCTAAGGTGCCCTGGCAATCACTCTCCGAGTCATCGGACTCCTTCATTGATCCGGAATACCTCCCCGCCGGCAGCGTTCTAAGTGACCCGAGCAAGATGCGCACCGGGGACCTGGACGCGATCTTGAGGCATTGGCGGGAGAGGCAGGACGAACACCCGCAGGGCCCAGTGTTTCGGTTCAAGGCCTGGAAGAACTCCAAGATGGAGATCGTAGTGCCGGATGTTCAGAAGCGTAGACCTCCCGTGAAGCGACCGAGGCAACAGGCCCGGCAGGCCACGCCCGGACCGTCCCGCCCACGTCGCCGCAAATCGAAGGCCGACGTCACCTCCGATGAGGAGTCCGCGGTCGAGAGTGATGAGCAGGAGAGCTACAGCTATCTGTTTAAGGGCGACGATAGCACCGACGAGGACGAGGCGCCGCCGGCCCCGTCCCCTACACCCAGAGTGAAGGGGAAGAAGAAGGAAGTGGTCCCCGACTCAACGGATGGCGATGAGGCACCGCCGCCCCGGAAGGACAAAGGGAAGGGTATCGCACCACGTACTGCGCCTTCGAAGCCCGAGCCCACTCGGCGGGCATCCGGAAATGACAGCTCGGGCGCAGCAGGTAAATCTGGCAAGCTGAAGGGGCCTGCCGCAGTTACAGCGGGAAGCGAAGTTGTTGACGAAGCGGGCAACACGACCTCAAAGCCGGCGCCGAGCAAGGCCCGGCCGGCAAAGCCTGGTGTCAAGCCCACCAGCGACCGGCCGGAGCCTGCCCCCGAGCCCTCTGGAAGCCGGAAGCAAATCAGGCCCAGGCCGAGGTATCGTACCACCACTGACCCAGCAACCCAGGAGGTTGCTAAGCGGCCTGACGCAAATCCGGAAGCTGGCACCACATCAGGAAACCTACCCCACACGAATTTGTGGAAATCTGCACAAATTCGCACAAATCTCCTGGAGACCCCATTTACTTGACCCCCCTGATTCCCTCGCTCGAATTTGCGTGAATCCACGTTCAATGGCTGTGAATTGCAAGGAAATACTAGCTCGGCCATACAATCTGGGTACTTCAATTCACATTGTTTTGCATGTATTTACACGCATAGCCACTACATCCACCCTACTCAATTCGTACCTACAGCTGGCATTCGCCCAGAGCGCTCGCTGTTGCCGTGCCTGCCCCCTCGTCCGCTCGTCTGGTTGCTTGCTTGCCCATCTGTCCGCTCGTCTGCCCGTCGCCCACCCGTCATCCATCCGTCTGCATGCCCACTCGGGCGCGTGTTCGTCGGCCGTGTCTGCGAGCTGCGCATTTGCCCAGCGCGCTCTCGGTCACCGTGCGCGTGGTGGTGACCGCGCCCCTGTGTCCGTGTGCTCGCCCTCGCCTCTCGCCTCTCGCCCTCTCGCACTCTCGCCCTCTCGCCCTCTCGCCTTCTCGCCCTCTCGCCCTCTCGCCCGCCCGCTCGCGCACCCACCCGTCTTCCTGCTCACCTACTCATTCCGCTCACGCACCCTATCGCCCGCCGGTCTGCCCGTCTTCCAGCCCGCTTGTCTGCTTGCCCGGTACCCATTCGTTGGCCTGGTCATTCGCGTGCGTGTGCGTTCGTTGGCCGTGCGTGTGTGCTGGGCAATCACGGTCGCGGGGGGCGTATGCTGCCATCTGCCATTTGTCCACCCGCCTGCCAGTGCGCACTCGTCCACCCAGCCACACGCCCGTTAGTGCACCGTCAACCCATTGACCCGCTCACCCACTTACTCACCCACTCACCCGTTTGACTTCCCGCCCGCCCGCTCACTCTCCCGCTCCCTCGTCCACTCGTCCGCCCGCCGTCTGTCCATCGGCCATGCCTGCACCTAGGGCATTGGCCCTGAGTGCTCGCGGTCGTCGCGCTGCACGTTGCTGTGTTCCGTGTCTACGTTAGTGGGCTCGCTCGCGTGCGTCTGCACTCACCGCTGGACTCTCGCCCTCGCCCGCCACACCTTCCCTGTCGTCCGATCGTCATCTGCTCGTCGTCCCCGCTCGTCTTCCGCACCCAACATCCGCTCGTTGTCCCCGCTCGTTGTCCGCGCCCGCCGTCGCAACAGTGCAAGTGGATGGGTGGTCGAGCGGACGAAAAAGCAGTCCGGGTGACGGACGAGTGGGCGGATGAGCAGGTGGACGAGTGGGCGGATGAGCAGGTGGACGAGCGGTCGAGCATACGGACGGCCAGTACCTAGATATGCGAGGGGGCAAGTCCGGCGCGAGAGAGCGAGTGAGCGGATGTGCCATAGAGCTGGCAGTGCCAGAGGTGACAGACGGCTCGGCGGGCGCACGCACGGGTGAGAACGCAGGCATCCGCCATCGCAGAGATATAGCTAGCAAGCGTCGGTCTACTACTGGCCGTTCAACGTGGAGTACGTCTCGACGGTAGGCAACGTCACTTCGTACTTCGGGAAGATCTCTCCCACGCGGCGCTTGTAGTCCTCCTCGCAGAGGTCCATCATTCCCGAGTGAACGGGATGCGCGTGCGAAGTCTCGTGGCAAACATGCCAGCCTTCTTAGCTTTCTCGACCGCCCTGTCGCTATGACCAGTTGCACCAGAAAGCGTAACTGCGTCGGGAGAGTTGTA